TTACCTAATTAGCCCATGTAGAAGCCTGAACCTCACCAATGAACTTTCTGAGCCTGACAAGGTGCAAAGTGCAAATAAAGTGTGTTTGGGTTTCCCTGTTTCCTTATTTTTTGGAAATCTTAAGAATCAGAGCATGGCTTTAAAGACACATTATAAAGATCAGCTCTGTGAAACGGAGTACTCATATTAGAAAACCTTAGATTTAACACAGCCTTTTCAAGCTACTGTTTGATATTTTGTCAACAACAGTTGTCTGCACATGGATCCCAGTCTCTGGTCCTGTCTATTTGCTTCTGCTTCCCAGCCCATGCAGCAATTGCAGCACTGTGGTGTTTGGTATAGGGCCTTCCATGGCCAAGGTCATCTCAGCCTGCACTTAATAGATTCTTGTCCAGAACATCTGGTAAAGAGCTGTTACAGCCATCCCATCTTCTAAACCCACAAATCTTTGAGATGATCTCTAAGAAAAGATGCCCTCAAACAGCTCTATAAAAAGTAACTCTTTACTTCATAATTGGGCCATCAAGATCCCATACCTTGTTGCCCAGACCTTTCATTCTCTGTATTTATGCTTCAATCAGATTTTTGATAGGCAATTTATCTAAAATAATCTGAAATATCCTTGACTGCTGTTTCAAGTGAAAACAGTGTGTCCTACATTGAGACAAATTTTGTATTCAATGTCTGAAATACCTGACAGGTATTATGCCCTGCTAAGAATGATGATAAAGCTGAAAGCCTGGAGGCTTCACCATATACAGTAAACTTGTCATTTCATTTGCTTGGTTTTACTTTTGAGGTTTTATTGGAAACATGCTCAAAACCCAGGAGATTCTGAGGTTAGTCACTACCCAAGGCCTCCAAAAGGAGCCCTGTCATTACTGAAACTTTAAAATTACACAGGTTCAGAAAAGAAAAAAAGGGAAAAGGACAATACAATGAGTTTTACAGAACTGCTTCTAGTGTGCTGCTTACCAGAGTCCAGCCTCCCTGGTAAGTGGCCAGCTCTAAAGACAAAAGGTATAATCCTTTGACAGATACTGAAAGGAACACAGGTAAATCAGCTTTTTTTCTCTCCCCTGCCTCTTGGAATATAGTTAACATTTAATGATAGGAAATATTCCCATATTGGGGAAGGGAAAAGTAGGAACAGAATATTGATGACTGTGACAGATTATGATCTGAAAGCATCAGCAATATTATAAATATGATGCGAATTGCAAGCATTTGGTACAGAGGGGGAAAACGCATTGATTTTCCTTATTCTACACTATGCCTGTCACTAAAATCAATGGACATCACACACACATACCAAGGAAACTACAATATGGAGAATTATTTATGGAATAGCTGCTTCACATACACATCAATTACAACACCATAATGGCTAGAGCTGCACCAAGAAGACAAAACCACGTATTACACGCTAAGTGATGAGAAGCTGGAATTCCTGTCATCGTTTCACCACATTTTTCATATGCTAAAGGGACAACTAATGGAAGCATTTTTGTACAGTTTTTCTTCTTTCTTCCTTTTTCACATTTTAGGAAGCAAAAAACATATAATCATTACAAGCCACTGATTCCACTTACAAACTAAATCATTAAATAACAGCTACTGGCAGTTATTTTCCAAAACAGCACTGTGCAATATATATTAAAGCAAACACACCAAAACATCTGAAATTGCCACTGGTTTGCTCAAAATTCTAGGGATGTTAGAGAAGCTGAAAAACAGCAGCATGCAGAAGTCAGTATCTCCAAACTTTTGGTGGCCAGAAAACACAAACCCATAAGCACATGCCTGCATTTTACAACAGCCAGCAAAGCTGTGTCAGCACTGGCAGGAAAAGAAAAAAGCTTTACAGCTACACAGGCACCTCTATAATTTTCATATCTCAAAATCATGGCATTTCCAATAGAGGCTGCTTTTGATTCACCATTTGCTTCTACCACTCTGTTTCACAGTACTCTGTCTCTCTTACTGTTAACTCTTGAAAGAAACCTTTCAAAGATCAATTCAGGCCATTAGGATTCTGGATGTTAAAATTGAATTTTTCTGTTCTACTAGTTCTTTTGAAAGGCTTAGAAGTGATTTGTGGCAATCAGCATAAAGGGATTTGACTGGCAGAGTTTAACTGAGTGACCTAGAGAAGATTCATCAGGGGAAAATTGCTAAAATCATAAACTAAATGGCAAACAGAGCTTTTGTCTGTCTGCTCTTAAAACAAAATAGGTTCTTTTAAATGTGAAAATCATTCTAAAAGCTTCTACAGGTAGTCAATGAAAAGCATAGAAATGCACAGCATAATCTTTCAAATAACACTCTGCAATAGTAATCAAACAAAAAGAAAGGATCAAGCATCACAATGATTATCAAACTAGTCTGTTGACCTCATTCACACAAACCTCAAAACCACAGCTGCCAAACTTCCCTCAGGTAAAATACATGAGATGTAGCTGAAACACCGTCTGTCTTCCTGTGGAAATTATGGCTTTTTCCCCTCTCATCTCTTTTGCCTGACTGCTCTTTCCTTCCCAGTTTGCTTTCTCAAACTGCCTTTCTTTGCAACTGACCTTTCTCCATCTGCCTGCAAGTCGAGAGCCCAGCTGGAGGGTCCATGCCACACTACCTAGTCAGTGGTGGCAAGGGAGGGAAGCCTGTGTCATCCAGCACTGTTCCAGAAGCACCTCCAGCAACAGATGGGCAGTGGGGAGGGAGAAACAGTCCCTGCTGAATGTATGTAGCACCAAAGATACCAAAAAAAGCACCCAAAGGCAGCTCTTGGTGAGAGCACCATGGAGTTAAGCACTGTGTGTCCCCATTTGACATTGTTTTTCCTCTGTTCTGAATTTTTGGGCTTTCATTTGCCAGCTCATAAGAAAAAAATAGTTTGCCTTTTTTTTTTTTCCAACCTCCACTTATGTGAACAATGTTACACAGATCACAACTAGCCCAGGTAAAAGATCTATTTATTTCTTATCCTGATGGTGCAGGTTATTTTGTATGCCACTGCTACACTAATTGCAAGGCTCTTGCTTTAAATCCCAGACAATCTTACCACCCAGACAATCCTACCACCCTACAATTTCCCAAGCCAAAATTATTACCTTCCACCCGAACACAGCATCTAACATCAGTTTAAGGCTACTTCAAGTTAATTTATTGGATATTAGCAGGATAAAAATTTTCTCTGTTCAAAACTACAGCAAATCATAGAAGTAACTTTTGTGATGGTGCTTCAATCTCATATATCCATCCGCCCATTTATTTTTTGTTTTCTCCAGATTTTCTGGGCTTTTCACCATTCATTCCTCTGCAACTCCAATTTACTGTTACCTTCAAACAGAATTGACGTGTTAATCTTCTCAGCCTTCAGACCAGTTATGCGATACAAAAGCACTCAAAGTCACTCATATTTTAGTCTACAAAAACCTACTACACTTTCATACTAACAAGTTTGTATGAATACAAGGTCTGTTTTTTTTTCTTTTTAAAATCATATTTGTATCTGTGAAACTTTTCCTATCTACTGCTCAATGCTATTCCAACATAATAATGGTTTTATGTAATTAGTTTGCCTGTATCTGGTAATTTACTGTAGCTTACACACTTTTGTATTTATTGGAGACATAAAAAGGAAAAAAACCAACATTTGAAATGCCAACATAAATGAAATTTAACACAGAAAACTCAGAAATTGTTCATTAATGATAAAATATGAGGTTATGGAAGACTGCACACAAGTCATTCACTCACTGAAATACTGCAGAGACAAAGGGATTTTTGCAAGGCATGTACAAAATTATACACCTCATTTTAATACAGGACACTGCATTAGCACCTTGCAAAACAAACCTGCACTGAAGCCACCTCAGTCCTCTGCTCAATTACTCTTTGTAAACATTACTTTGTTTCTTTAGAATATCTATCTTTGCCAAAAGACAAAAGGACCCTACCTGTGTAAACCTACAGTGCTAATGTAGACATTAAACACCTAATCTGACTATACTAAATATTAAGGTCAGGAATTACCAGTTACAGAATTTAAACATGATTATTTACATAGTAAGATCCAAATCCAACATAGAAACAAGCTGTGTTTCACAGAAGTGCAAGATACGACTCCTTGCTGGCTCACCAGAGTATTTTCTGTTAGTTTTGCAGTGACCTTTTTTATTTGCTAGAGACCTAATTTGAATGTTATAGATACATTTTTTAAACTCTTACAGAAAACACACTGCAGTACTGATTAAAGCCAACGATGAAAGCTTCTTTAGAGAATACAGCATCTGGATTAATTTCATGATCAAAACTTGTTTGCTCAATTTGTTTTTTTTTTATTCATCAGGGTCATTTAATCAGAAATCTTTACATCTTTTAATTACACACTGCTGATAGAATCAGCCTCAATTTCTGCATAGCTGTAATTTAGAATTAAAAATTTTATTTTTTTAAAGCATAGTAAAGATTTTATCAGATATTAACGGCAACACCATCAGTCCAAACTAACTTTATTTTTAATAACATGAGGTAAGAAGAACTGCCATCTGTAAAAAATATTTATACTTCTTTCACAATATTTGTATAAGTTTTACAGAAATTTCGAATGAGTGCATAAACATGTTAAAAATATATTTTAAAACAGAAATTGACTTTCATTTTTTAATTTATATTGTCATAAAAGGTTGTTAAGTCTTGTGAAAGCCTAAGAAATTGTTAAAATAACTGCTATTTACTTGGTCAAATGCTACAGTCAGTGGTGACACTTCCAAGGTTTCACTTATCTATCTTAGAAACTGTTAATTACTGCTAAAACACACAGCTGTGAAGCCCTTGCATGCAGAAGTGACTTACCAGCTGGCATGCTGCTGGTCAAGCTGTGCTAAATCAGGACAGGGGCCTATCACACATTTGCAACTGGCTTTAGACCCTTTTGTACCATACTTAGTTCCTGGCTCAGCCCAAAATGCAAGGAATATGCAAAAATCTCCACATACCTTCTCATACAGTCCAGCGCCCGAATAAAGAAGTCTTTGTGAAGCTGATGTTCATCCCTCAAGATGGAGCACTGCTCCAGCGTCACTGACATGGATGTCCGGTCTTTGGCACTTTTGCAACAGGTGAAACGGACTCCATTCATCTTACGGCAAATCTGAAACACATGCAGATGTCAAAAGATTGCCCTTTTCACACCTTGTGTTCTCTATGCACTACACAAACTGAAACTGTCACAGTTTTGCAATCACAGAATACAGAGAACTGAAGTATTTCTCAAGAAGAAAAAAGCTATAAAAGATAGTAATTCCAATGGCTACTGATGTGTGCCTTTGCATTTAAATCTACTGTGGGGATTTTAATATTCTAAGGATTATGCTGGCCTGACGCAGTGCCACAAAAGGTGAAAATGTGCTGAAAAAACCTGCAAACTTATCTTTTCATAGAACCATAGAATGGTTTGGGTTGGAAGTGACCTTAAAGCTCATCTAGTTTCAACCTCCTGCCATGAGCAGGGCCACCTTCCACTAGATCAGGTTGCTCAAAGCCCCTTCTAACTTGGCCTTGAACACTGTCAGGGATGGACCAGCCACAACAACATTTATAAATTTGCAGCATTAACACTCCACTAAAATAGAACCAAAAGATTATAGCTACTGCTCTATAGCCCATTTCCAATTTGTCCATATGACACATTTTAAAAGCAGATCTTCAAGGCTTTCGCTAGGAGGACAAACGTACAAATAACCTGCTCATTGAAGGAAAAAAGCCTTTCTTTATTTTAAAAGCACGCTGCACAGTCTTGTACTGCAATTGCAGTCAAGTCTCTCTCCTGCCCACCCCAACACCACCCCCTCAATGAAGCAAGAAATTGGTGGTGGATCCAAAAAAATTAAAATCAAAACCAAAATCTACTACTCTTAGTCCTAAGCATTTTAAGCAAGTCACTAAAATGTGTGGACTACAGCTTACGAAACCATAGCATCCAAAATTCTGAACTTGAAATATAAAGTATTTGTGTTAGCCTAGACTATAAAAGGAAAAGTTTCTTCAATTTTTTCCTCATTTTCTGTGAGAACCACCCTATTCAATTAGAGCTGAATTGTCTGAACACCCAATTAATGCTGAAAAGCAAAGAAGAACTTCAGCAAGTCTTACCTCAAGCTCATGGACATAGAGGACTAACATCTTATGAGGGTACGGATTCAGACACATCTGTATTTAAATATAGTCCTTGTTTTTAAGAGGTAAACTGTTCCACTCATGACCCAGAACAACTAAAGTTTAACACAAATGACTGCCATGGATTGTCTACTTTCAGTGTACATTTTGGCACAATTATAAGGAATAAGGGAAACATATTTCTGAGGATAATTTCACACCTTAAGAATCAATCTGTTGTTGTGCCAGCCCATTAGTTTATGCTTTGGGTTCAAACAATATTTAACTAGAAAAGGAAAATTTTGAAGGAAAGCTGGTGTGCCCAAGTGTGGGTTTGCCTTTCCCCTGGTATAATTTGGCCTAAGAAAAGGCAGTACTTTTATTTGCTTGCTCCTATCCCTGGGAAATCATAGCTGTAACAGTATCTAAAAAGGAAATATGAGAATAGGGCATGCAATAAATTACAGCAATTAGGCTTGATCCTAAGGAACTTCCCAGCTTGGCTATCAAGGGTTTACTTCAGATCCTGCAGGGTGAAACTTCATAATCTTGCTTCAGCCAATAAGCACTTCCTTATCTGTTAATTGCATTAGTGTCAAAAGTTGAATTTTTTTAGATGATACTGTGAAAGAAGTTAACTGTTTAATTGAGATTAATTCTCCTTACACTGTTTCTTTTGAAGTCCATGATTAATTGTGACTATTTGAAGTGAATGAATCATAAGAAAAAAACAGGTAATTATTCCAGATGAGCCTCTCATGCAGAGAAGGGAGACTAAATCCCAAATGTGGGCTGGCAGCACATAAATTGCTGGCTAGAGAGAGTCAGTTTTGAACTGTGAAGCATTCTAGGCACAATACGCAAATTACTGTATGCACAAACTTGTTTTGCATTGAAGCACAGTACAAAAGTCTCAATCATTTTAAAGTGGATTAAATTGAAAACAATCTGTTCACTTAAAGAAATTATAAAATCCTTAGATTTGGATTTAAGAAGCAGCATAGGTTAACCTGATGGGCTGGCCCACAAAAATCTTCACAATGACTCAGTTCACTAAGTAGCAGCAGTTAAACAAAGTAAATAATTAAAACTGGCAAACAGTGATCTGATTGCTCTAGAATATACTCTGTTTCTCGTGATCTAAGACAAAAGATGAAGGGGCAGTTTTGGAGATCAGAATATAGCATTTAAGTCTTTATCCCATTATATTTAGAACAAGAAATATTTGTGATACCAATTTGCAAAAGCTGACTTTTAGAACACAGCTATATTCTCAGGGTCCCATTACACAAGGGATTACATGCAGATGTGGATACATATGCATGTCCATCTAGAATCTACTGCAATAACAAAGTGATATCCATACATACTTTCCAATAAATAAATGTAATATAGTGCAACAATGTGTAAATCAATGAGTCAAGAAATACTAATTTCAGAAAGTTACAGTAAGGTAACATGAGGAGAAGCAGAATACAGCAAAGGAAAAATCTGAATCAGTTTGAATGTTCAAAGAATGCTTTTTACCCATGAAATTGTTTCCAAAGAATCCTGACTAGATAGTAGAAGACAATGTTCTATAGCCAAAGATTAAGGAAATTTTCATATAAACTCATTTTACATTACCCTGTACTGATTTATCTTATACTTCTTCAAAAAGCAATGTTTCATAGTAATTGCAGAACTTGTACTGTTAGAAAGGCTTCTGATTTTACTCACAACAGATTTATACTGCAATAGCATGTGATAATATTTATGAACCACAAGGCAAAATGTTATTAGCAATATAAAAAATTACAGTGGTGTTATTAATACAAAGACATAGCTAATATTGTCTTGTTCCTCACGTTAATGAAAAGACATGGAAAATTTAATTAATATTTTTTATAAAGTGTTTATTTCCCTTGAAGGGTATATGCATTTGAAAGTTCCCCCAAATGCATGGTCTTGCTTCAATTCTAGTAAATAAAGATTGAGCCTCTACTTATAGACAGAGACACCAAGGGTGTCTATTCTTATTACGTGGTTGAATTCCACATTCCTGAAAATCTTGAGCTCTTTATAAGTATCTAAGGTCATTTATTTGGTTGGGGTTTTTGTTTGTTTGTTTTTAACACAGAACTGGGAAACAAAAAGAAAATATGTAAATAAAGCAAAGTAAGTATCATTCGTTGTTTGATAAACATTTTTGTGTTCTGTGTCTGAACATCTGCCCTTTGCATATAAAGCTTATCAGTGCCCTTGGAGTGGCTGTCACAGTGACCCCATAAAGTGTGATTGACAAGAAGTTGTGCTGATACAATTAAACACTTGTTTACAAAACGTAAGTACTAAAAAGTTGGGTACAGCAGTATTTAACAAAAGGTAGAGCAAGTAATTATGTCCTCAAGAGTTATGGACAGTAAACAATAAAAGGAAGGTATTTTGAATAACCAAATTTTATATTATCAAAGAATGGATATGATTTTAAAGAAACAAGCAAAAAAAGTTAGATACTGTAGCTGAATTCTGTACTGTCTCTCCCATATGACGTGATACACTGATAGCTATGCATGATCATCCAAACAATTAATTCTGTCCATACTGGGGATGAAGGGATTCCTCTGCCTAAAACTGGACTCAGTTAAGCAAAAAAACATGCCCCAAACAATACATAAACCTCTTTTATCCTGTTATACAACTCACTGATATAAACGAAAAATTCTGCATCTGGAGCAAAACAATCCTGAGCAGCAGCACAGGCCATGGACTGCCTGGCTAGGAGAAGCTTTGCAGCAAAGGGGCTGGAGGAAGTAGGGGACAACAAAGTGACCAAGACCATCTCTCTCTTTGAATTCTAGCAGGTTCTACAAGTTAAGAAAGCAGGAAAATATAATATCTGTAATTTAACTGTAGGAAGAAGAGGTACATGCATGAGTGGGATGAGAGCCCATCAGAATGGAAACGTTAGAGAGCCATTTCAGCCTATCTACTTTAATCAATGAGTTTCCCAATTACATCCTTAAAATGCATTGTGCTTACAGTGTCAGCAGGCATACGAAAATCATGTGAACACATATGAAACAAGAGGACTTACCGTCGCAGCCAGCCACATGATTTCTACATTCTTTCTCTTTTTGGCCTGGATATTTTGATGGAGATTTTCTAGCAATCCCTTTAAATCATTTTGTTCTTGAAAATGTGGTAGACCTGAAAAAAATGGTTGATGAGTAGAGAAATAATCAAGCATATAAAAATCTGCTGTGATGGGATGCATTTTTTAGGTCAAAGTATTTTGCTTTTGTTACATCTCATTTTTCTTAGAAAATGATGCTTTACTTCCTAATATAAGAAGAGAGTTAAACAACACTAAACACCACCACCACACCACACACATCCCCCCAGATTTAACAAAGGATATTTCTCAGTCTGAGGAACTTTGATTTTGAAATACAAAATAATTTCAGGTTTACTTAAAATCCAAAATTATACCTAATTGCCTTAGGTATGGCAGCTGAGCTGACATTTTATTATCACAGATGTCTAGTGGCAACTCAAGAATAAGCAATTTAATTTGCTCTTCTGTTTTGTGGGTTTGTTTTAATGTTACCTTTATCTTCATTAGTTTTGAAAATCAGCAGAAACAATCAAAATCTGCTTTTCAAATTTACTTCTTCAAGTCCCAAGCCTAAGATTTGCACTCAATTCAAAGAGTGAGGCAAGTACTAATGCAGGTCAAAATCAATTCTCCTAATGTGATCACAGCTGGAATGATCCCTCTTATCAACAGGCTTTTACCTTTTATCTGTAATGAATTCTGTAGTTTCCCCTATCCGTGATTCATAGTAAGAAGTAATTTAAATATACTCAAGAACTATTTTTAAATGTCTAAGCTGCCTTACTCATACTGCTCTGCCAAAAAGAAAAAACTGCAGAAAAAGCGCATTCAAACTAGTTTTGCAATAATCTTAATAAGGATTGTTTTATCTTTGTATTACAATTCCTGATCAGACAATTTGATAATGCAGAGCATATAAAAATACATTACAACCTGCTAGACTATTATATTTACCTTGCACCTGCTTCTTTCGAACACATAGCATACAACGAGTACTCTAAAAAGATGCTTCCAGATTATGGGAATGCATAACTAGGTAAGTATTTTATTGTTTCATAGCAGTTTTCCCTTGGTTCACAGCGTAAAATGAGTCATCTCAGAGAGATGACTTCACCACAGGTAAAGCAAGATTCTCCTAATTTATAGTATCAGCAAATAAGATGCATCTTGACTGGATGTGATTGATCACTTAAATTCTTTGTGTCATAAAGCAGCATTAAACCATCAAATCATTCTTATAGATTATAAGGGGGAAAAGCCTGGAAGTACGTAACAGACTCACAGACTTTGTGTTGAAAATGCACGTACCGCTACATGCATTATTATGCTATGGAATAAAATCTTTGTTTGCTGGATTTCTAAACCTTGCATGTATCCCTCCTCTCACACGGGACAATGATGAACTGATGTTGCTGTGGGTGTTGGGTATCAAACCAGCAACACTGAATATCACTCATGACATGAGTTTCTTCATGTTTTCAGCTGTTTGAGTTCTAAACTGTTCAATTAATCAGGTACTACTAAACAACAATCACACATTTTTTCTACCCTTACTATCATTAGCTACTCCATAAAAGCAGTACTATTTTGGTGCCTAAATCAGTGCTACATTTGGTTGGCATTTTTAGTAGGAATCTTTCTGGAAACACATTTTTATTTAGTTTTCAGTTTCCTATTAGATAATTAAAGAGATTAAGAAACAGGTGAGTGACACAGTGCATATTCATCTAAAAGAAGACAAATCAGTGTTCAGCATATAGTTACATGCAGCTGAAGACTTTTAGTCTAGCTTTCTCTGTCTTCCCAATTACTATTATTTGCAATCAAAATTACAGAGGTGAAAGAAAAACAGTAAAGGTGGTAATACTTTTATGGGAGTGGAAAATTTAATTCATTGAAATGGAATATATGAATGAAGAGCAGGCAAGAGAGGCTGCCTAAGGGTGGTGGATGCAACAGCCTGGCCAACAGGCTGTGAGTCCCTAAATTCTGTCTGGCTTTACAAGAACTGTTTTTGTAACTAAGAGCTTTCTGAGCTGGGTGAGTCCTGCACTTATTTTGCAGCAAAGATTTGGCATTACAGGAAACTATCTGGAAAGGTGTGACAAAACCATCAAGGAGCCATCAATGTTGAATGACTCTCACTTCACCACAACACCAGGGCTGCTGCCAGCTTGCATGGAGGGTTAGCTTCTTAAGAACATGAGCACAGAGGTAAGGAGACAGGAAAGGAATTGAAGTCCTCCTGCAGCTGAATGATTTGGAGAGCTTGACTTTGTTTTTCCAGGGAGCTGGTTTAAAATGCATGTTTCTCCAAGCCAAGAGTGATTCCAAGTGAGGGTCCAAGAGTGATTCCATGCAATGGCAGGGAGCTACTGGGTAAGGCAATGGAACCAGAAGGTGCTTTGTCTTTTGTAAAAATTCGGATGAAAAACAGACTCAGATCTTAGAGGCAGAGAAAAAGCAAGAAGGCAATAATAACCAGAAAAGACATGATGAATTAGATAAGCGTAGTTCTTAAAAGCCTGCACAGTCTGGAAGAAGTCCAGAAAGACTGTGTGGCTCACTAATAATCCTTCTGCAAGAAGACAGTACAAGGTTAGTTTCTGTTACTGAAAAGTGGCCAATCCTATCTGCATGCAAATTTTTGCTTTTATATAATCTGAACCATTTATGAGGTAGCAAATCTACCTTAGACCTAACCCCAGATGAGGTTAGTTTTTCAGGATGCTTTCTTGGCAGGATTCCCTTAAATTAATTACTAACTCTTGTATGAGTTTCTCTGTAGAAATCCTAGAAATCCTAGAGCCAGGGGTGGATGATGGGCATACTGCCCACTGTTTAACAACAGAACTTTCATTTCTGTCACAGTTATTAACATCTGAAAATTATCCTGAGATAAAAGATAAGTATATACACATATACAGTGACACACTAGGTATAACTCCCAGTACATACATGTAGTAGATAATTTGCAAAACTAACCAACACAAGGTATGCTGTATAAGAACAGAAGCTTTGCAAGGCATTTTAACAGGCAGTATTCACCATGAGAAGGCACATGCAAATCCTGTAGGATGACAGGCCTTTAGATTTAAAAGATTCATCCCCCCCCTTTATAAAAAGGGAAGGAACAGAGACTGAAATCCAAGCTATTTAAAACAAGGCCATAAAATTTGCATCATTTGGGAATACAGTTTAGGCATTTAGACCACTTTAATAGGATTAGATTGATACAAATGGTCTTTTCAGTGTTTGCTTTCAAGAATCAGAGTAACAGACTCGTAATATTTATGATACCAAATTTCTGTAAAATTGAAATATAGGGCCCATTCTAATGGAACCCTGTTATTCACATCAGTGACATTATGATGTGGCTCACTGCTTGCATTTGCATCTGCCAGTTTCTCAGTGGTTTGCCATACCTTAATACATTTGCAAAATACGAATGGAGGGAATGACTGAAACTGATGAAAATTCCCACCAAGTATTTCTGTACAAATATATTAGGTACAGACTGTCCTCTACTTGAAATATCAAAAGGCATATTATACTAAGATTTAAAAGAGCTGTTTGGGTCATCATTATGCTGTTTCACTCTCCCTGTAGTTTCTGCTGTGGTGTTGGGCAATCACTACTGACTTCAGCAGGGCTGTGTACAGGCCATGTTCAGAGTGTTAAACTGTATGGAACAAGTTATGGGACTGAAGCCTAAATCTAAAAGCCGCACACCAATACTGTGGTAACATTACTTTCTTAGAATCTTCTATCTATCAAACCTTTTCAAAGCCATTTGCACATTGCATTATTTTGTACTTACAATCAGGAGGCATTTTTTCTGTAAACAGCTTGTAATATTTTTTTAGAAGTTCTAAGTTTTCCTGGTTAATGTTTTCCTGCAAAGTGGTATCTCCAAACCTATAAAAAAGCACAATGAAACGATGGAAAAGAAAATCCCAAACAAATGACCAAAACTAAAACAAAGCTAAATTATCCTTCAAAATGATTTCTCTGCATGCAGAAATCATAGAACCATAGAACAGTTTGAGTTGGAAAAGACCTTAAAAATCATCCAGTTCCAACCCCCTGATACAGGCAAGGACACCGTCCACAGGACTTTATTTTTTTTATTCCCCCTCCCTTCCAGCATTGAATGTAGTAGATTTTGTCAAACATGTAGTTGCTAATCTCTCATATGCTTTGTAACTAATATTTTAATACTTCAGAATGAGGTCATTACACATGGATAATTTTTCCAAAATCATATGGACAGAGTAATCCATTTACAGACAAACATTCAATAAAGCACATATTTTTTTTTACCTTCACAAATCCTGCATAAATGCAAGGGCTCTTTGTGGGAATTTCAGATGGCACCACAGGCTGAGAACAACATCTCTTACATCTCTTACTGCTCTTGCTTAAGTGTATTCATTTCTACCAGAGCTGGACAATATTGAAGCCACACAAGATGGAAGATATTCAAGTGTCAGGTGGAAAACCTGAAGAAATATTTTCTGCTATGGTCTGAGAATATTTGCTATAAATAGTCAAACTGATTACTTCTCTGGGCCCTTTCTGACCTAACACTGCTGAGCTGTTGGTTATCTTGGTTTCTTGTATCTGAAGCCAATGACAGTACCATTTCCATGTTGTTGAGCAGTGATTTCACCATTAAGCTTTACAGAGTTATGACCTGCAGGCTAGCTGGCTTCAGTTGTCTTCATTTAAGCTTACTGTGGCACACAGACCTCAGCAGTTGCTTGACAGTGCTGCAACTGGCTCAGGAACATGTTCTGGGCTTTCTTGCAGCAGCAGAGTCTGCTGGGAACACATCCCCTAATCCTAGCTATTCTGCACTTCACAGAAAATCCAGACAACATCAGGATGCCATTATGCTTACCCATGAACTGACCATAGCCACATAGGCAAGTATCTTTATCTACAAGATCAAAATTCTTGCAACAGCCAAGTTGTAGAAAATACAGGCTAAAAAAGAAATATATAATATAAATCTCCTGGTAGCTCTGCTGTGAGATATATGAGTATAAAGACAGGAATGTCCCTTGGGCAGTTAGGACTCATCTCTAGAACAGCCTTGAAATAAAGAAAAGGGAGACAGAGAAGGAAATGGTGGAGTACAGAAAGAGAGACGTGGACAGGTAAACCTCTTCAGGACAGGTAAGTTTTCTCTACCAGGCGGAGAAAAGGGAACACAAATCAGAAGATACCAAATGTACTGTTACATCATGCAGAAGGAAATGAAACATTCAAACACGTTAAGAGGGAAAAGACTACTTCCTCAATAGCCATGGCTGCACTGTCACATAAGAATATTTCTTTTAAATCAGATACATTCTCAACTGTGCTGTACTGAAGAGATGTTTTCATCTAAATAAAACAACATTTTCTAGAAATTTATCACAAAATTTTCTTTCTAGTCTCATGTTAATTTCCCCCACAAAAATATTTTTTACCTAAAAGCATGTGCAGTGTTTCCAATCTCAAAGACAAAGGTGCAGCTTTAGGAGTTAAGCAGTATTTTGAATTAAGTCTAACGTTTACACCTGTAAGTGAATGCAGAAAAAACTGTTTCTGCATGGAATAATCCAACTTGACTTTTTTTTGAGATATATATATATATTAGTATACATATATTTATTTATAGATCTACACATATTATTTATTCATTCATGGCTTTCTTTGTCCATAATGTAAAATCCCCACTGTGAACAAGACTACCAGTCTTCCTATCACGCCACCTGCAAGCCAGACATCTTTTCACACCAACTCCTCTCTACAAGCCTCCATATATCCAGGCTGCTTCTAAATCTTGTCAAATATTTCTTCAGGGCATTTGTAATGTAATAGTCCTTCCTGCCTATCCCACCCATGTATGCTGTCATGAACTTGCTTCTTCGTTCCTGCATACTCCTCTGCTTTTGGAGAAACCTGTTGTGTCCCAGTCACAATTGTCATGACTGATTTTTTTGATGTTGTACCCTATCACCTTGGCCATGTCACTCCTCTCATAGCATCACTTTTCCCTTCTTAATGTCATCAAGTACAAGCCATTTTAATTTTCAAGAACGTTTCAAGTTCTCTAACCCACTTGACTTTTTCAACAGTAAAATGCCAGGTTTTACCATTTTATGATTCAGCCTATGTCTCTCATTTCAATTTGCTATCTAAATTTTCTCATACATCACCACTCACAATTTAGAGAAGTTCCCCACAGATATCCACAAAGATACCTGATGGCATTCCTTAGAAGACTTCCTTAAAAGACAAAAGACTACTTTTACTCTGCTGTCTACATAGAACAGGACATGAAACTCCTGCTGTGTTTAACTTCTTGCTTACTGTCCAGTTAACTTCTTTTTTCGCTATTTCACTCTATTTCCCCAGCTACACTTGCTTTTGAGTTTGTAGTGAATGCAGTCTAATGATAAATGTCTCTCAGGTGCCCTGTTAATAAAACCAGTTAAGGAAGAAAAGAAAAAGTAGCTGTTCATTATTGATGTCTGCCTTGCAGTTTTAGGACTGCACAAACTTGATAATTAAACATCATGGACAGATAACCTTCTCTTGGAAAACTAACAGGCTGCTGAAACTTTGACTTTTATTGTGCTAATTAATTAGTTTCCAGCAATCTTTTCAGAGGATTAATATTAGCACATCAGAACTATAACATTAGCCTTAACGTTTCTACAAACATAAAACTAAGCATTCCCTATTACTAACTAACACTCCTCAGCCCTGGAAAAAAGCCCTAAAAAGTTGTGAAAAATGATCTCTTTCTAGCTTATGACTTGCCCAGCATCTTCAACCCCGCTTCTAAGATAATGAGAATTTTCAATTTTCAAACTCGTATTTGAAACAAACTTCTACATCTGTGAAATAGAAATTAATTTAATATCTGTACCCAGAGGAAACTTGGCATTGGCCGTGTGAAACGCACCCCTGCATGTGGTCATATCTTCACTTGGACTTATCATTATTTTGCATGGCTTCATAGCTTGTGCTTATTTCCTTTAATACATTTTAAAATACACACCAAGCAAATGTGAGATGGTCCAGCAACAAGTAACAAAACAGATTTATTTTTAGTCCTGGGAGATACCCTATACTAGCACAGCATACTTGGATAGAAAATGAAACATGATTTTCTCTTACCTCTCTGCAAGTGTTTGCTGTTCATTGATTCCAACATTAAAGAGTACTGGATACATGCGAAGTAGCTTTCCTTCTTTAATCTCTTGTGGCAGCAACTCAAACATCTTTGCTGGAAGCTGGACCTCTATAACATAATGTTCACTAGGAAAATAAAAAGATGAATAAGGATGGGCATATCAATTAGTTTGCTTGAAATTATAGCCTTCCTAAATTATAGAGAGCATAGAGACTTATAAATCAGTCCTTCCCTTTTCCCCTTAATTGTTTCGAAGCATAAAATGTGATGATTCAGTTTGCTGGCTTTAAGAGGATAACCGAGCTATATGGAAAAAAGGCAGGTAAATATAACCACACACTCCTGATAGTGACTTCTTTACTGAAGTGAAAATAGGACTAAGGATGAAAGCAGTAAAAAATCTTCAGCTACGAAAACACAAGTGAGAACTCCTCAAATATTAAAATGCATCCTACTGAGTTACCACAACTCCCTTTTGGAAGTCATGACTTGATCCTGTAACCACTCTAAATGCAATATGAGCAAAAACCTTTCAGAAAAGCTCAAAGCAAAATTCCCATTTTCTTCAGCAGCTGGATTTTCTCCCTGGGGATAGAAAGCACCACCAGTAACAAAACTGACTCTGTGAAGATAATAACTGAAGGCTCATTACACAAACATGAATCCTATTTTAGGAGAAGAGATGTAATATAGAACAGCTGTGGTTATATGTTTGTGTTTGGTCTGATTTTATGAAAAACATGTTATTTTGGCTGCCAGTCTAAACTCTTATTATGTGGAACCCTCCAAGTTGAATTTGAGGACTGATGTCTGACCCCACAACAGAAACAACAGCATGCTGTTAACTTGAGGCTTATTAGGTTTCTTTCAATTATTAGAGCAATCAGTCTAATAAAAGAGGAACAGACTAGAAGCAAATCCATTTGTCTCTATGATCTGGCATTTTAATCATTCAAACATGGCCAACCGATAACGAAGACTGAGGCTTTCTCTCCGGCAGAGCACATCTGGTGTACCACCAAGAAGGAAGAGTATTACAGCAACAGAAGGGAAGGAAGATCTATATCCTACCTACAGAAACCAGGCCTAAAAAGTCACACAACTTCTGCATGTAAACTTCAGCTAGTAAAATTTTTTGCAGCTATTAAAAGAAATCTATCATGAAGTCACTCCAACCCTTATTTTAATCAATCACATGCTTGCTAAGAAATTAAAATACAGTCTGGATTTCCCATGTGTAGAATTTGGGAAAGAAGACTCAGAAAACCTCGAAGAAAAGAGGCAGTTTCTGCACTAGCTCTGACAGGCTTGGCAAACTGGAGGGATGAGTGGCACTATCTCAAAGCAGGTGTTCGGATACGTATTTTAGCTTAGAAGAGTTCATGGTTGCATTTGAACCTCTATCCTGTCCACATATCTGAGAGCAAAATATAATAGATCCAGTACAGACTTGTGACTGAATTGTAATTACATGCAACTAGGGCAACAGCATATGCCTTGGTTCTGCCTTGGTACAGGCTAGAACTAATGTGTAATCTCTGAGCAAATGCCAAATGCTCCCTACTGAGGGGGGTTATCAGTTTTCAATGGAGGATACATGCCTTAGAAGGGGGAAAAAAATAAGTGTGTGTGAAGAAATAGTTTCATTCCCCAGATAAGTCTATTTGGTTTGTGTTTTGTTTAATTAATTCACCTGTGTGAAAGAAATAGTGAGTTAGCAAGGATGACAGTAAAGAACTCAAATGACCTTTGTATAAAAGCATTCATTCACAGGCTGCATGAGAGCTCTCCTAGTTGCTGTCAGGTACTGCCAGGAGATTTTTCTGTGATGGAGTGCTTTCATGAGGTTGAGAAGAAATGTTGGTTTAGTCTAATTCGAAGAGCATACACTGATGAACCAAAATGCCACCAAATCCTTGCACTGCTACATTTCACACCCCCAAATCACTACAAAACTTTCGGTGTGTGAAAGAACATTAGGAAATGCTGTCCTTTAGGCATGATAAATTAACATTGGTGTCATTTGAGAGCCTCCCCTTGCCCCCTCCCTTATTTTTTTCTTCCTTTCTTTTGAAACATTTTCTAGAAGTCTCACAGATAATCCGTGGTAACTCTGAAAAAAACCCCAACGAACTCTAATAGCACAATGAAAACAACTCATTTCTGATCATGTAAGTAAAAGGCTCCCAAGCTTTCACATTGCTGCCCAGAAATGGTACTGAAGTCAGGTGGGCAAAAAAGAAAAAAATAATTCAAAGTACTGAAATCTGGAAGACTTGCTTGATCTTAATTTACCAAAGATTTTACAGGTCCTGTGCTTCTATTTAAACATTAAACACTAATACAGCAGTAAATTTTATTGCCACGTCATGTCTGTCTTTTTGTGGCTAGAATTAGTGCAGAGATACCATCTTTTTTCAGCATGAGATGAGTAAGGTAACTACCACTTTTTCCAATAGGAAGGAAATATCAGTACATAATTTTTAACATTCAACGATCTCTCAGGGCAACTGGGTGGAGAAATCCAGCACGTTTAAGAGAGTAAATAATAAATCACATCTTTCCGAAAAAATTATATAAATTTTGGCATTATACACTGTTTAAGAATATCCCTTTCTTTGATTTTATTTGCCTTATTCTCTAATATTTGCCATCATTCCATAGCAAGGCATTTATACACACCTTTGCTTTGCAACAAAAAAAACAATGCACACATGGTCAGTCACTGCATCTCAGCTGGGAAGTGTTTACCTACCTCTTCTTTTAGCTGAGTGATGACTTTTTAGATCATTCCAATGTGGCTGTAAAAGTGCTAGTCTGATAGCGGGCTTCATTGAAAACATGGTATCAAATCCTGCAGTGCCTCAAAGTTCAGATGTACAAATACTTTAATAAAATTCTTCTATAGAATGTAAGTATAATAAAATACTACAATCTAATGCTTATAATAATAAAAGAACCTGAGCACCTGAACTAAACTGCACTTTTCCTGGATGGCCAGGGTCAGCCACCCACATCAGCAGGTTAGCACACTGATAGTCAATGCCACCACTCTTTGGATTGATTTGTTTGTGTACATGGAATCTCAGTCTTAAGCGCTTCCCCAGAAAAACAATTGCAAGTGAATACTCTGACTCTGCAAGATAAGAATTTGAATTAATCTTCTGTCTTGCATTTCTAGAGTCTTTCGGCCTCATTTTATTGAGCCACACCATGTATACAAGCCAAATGATCCTACACACTAATTAGAAATAACTAAGTTTTCCACTGTCTTCTCTTTTTATGCTTGACTTCCAATGCTGTGTGATAGGAGCTGTCTCACCACAGCTCTAACAAGAATGAGGCTCCGACACATAAGCTTTTAAGATTCTAATTTTCTTTTTCCCTGATACCGATTCCATCCAGTGAACACCTGCCAGTAAGTACAGTACAGCAATCACAGGCAGTAACTCTTCTTCCTAAAGACTGACTACTCCATCAACCCAGAATGCCTCAGGCAGCTCAAAGCTCAAGTCTCTTTTCAAGCCAGGACCTCCTAGTGTGACAGTTCAGTGTACTGCAGTAATGGCAGCAAGCCAGTAAATGTAGCTGCTGGATTTTTCAAGCTTTTTGACTGCTGTAATCTGCAAAGGATGTATGTCTTCTGTTTTACGTACACATCATAATTATTCTTAATTATTCCCGATGCACTGCCTATCATACTCCGGCCATCCTGCTATTTATTTCAATCCTTTCTCAGCAGGCCCATAGAATAAGAGTGAATTATCCCAGATAATTAAGTAAATCAGTGATGAAAAGCCTCTTCAGAAGAAACACATCTTTTCTAAAAGTTGTTGCTTTTAGCTGAATTTAATTTACGGTCATCTTAAGAATAATGATACTACTAAGGAAGTGATTTCTGCAAAAGTAAAAACATTTGGAGCTTCAGACTAGAATAATACCAAAGATAAAACCCCCATTCCTCCTGTGTAACAACCTATTAACCCTCTCATAGCCATAATTCATGAAGTTTATGTCCTGATATTCAGCAGTGCTTATGCGAGATGCATAATGTACCAGTGGCTTTGCACAAGGATTTTTGAGGTTGCGTATGTCCTGTGTGGTCTTCAGCAACTAAGATAGGCTTCATTTTTCAGAAGTTACCACTAGGTTTTGGTGCCTGAGTTTTTCAGTTTTTGTCTTAAGATCATGAAGGCCTAACTCTTAGAAATGTAATTTCATTTGTCACAATGAAATACAAGTTCTGGAAACCTCAAACCCAACGTTTCTTCAGTTAGAGGCCACTTTTGTAAATACTGACCTTGTCACCTCTCTTTGAATCAGTATGAAAAACACAACAGAAACTCTGCATAACCCAGACACTGTTTTGATTAATTTGTTTTAATAATTGGAACTTTTAGCTTTTCATCAGGAAAGTAACCCAGAACCCATTTTAATGCTAGCTTTACAAATCACTACTACCTCATTATATCCCCACTCACCTCATGAAAAGTAAAACTACTGCACTTTCCATGTAATAGAATTCATCAACAAGAAAAACACTATCTGGGCCTTTCATGTGCTACAGATTAAAATACATGCCATGGGCTCCAGGAAACAAAGTTCTTACCGCCTTCCAGTTATGATAGGCAAAAAATCTTCTGATTTGGCTTCGATGACTTTAAACATTACTTTCTGCAAATCTGAAATTCCCACAGCCATGTCTTCCAGCATCCCTGCTTCTTCACCTATATAGAAAGATTACAGAGGCTCTTAACAGAGTAGATAGATCAGTCACTGAATAGGTTATAGTAAAGCAATACAGGGATTATATGTTCCAGTCTGTGCTTCTAAAAAATCACAGTCCTAGATCTACATTAAAGTAATCTACATAAAAGCAAACTGATTTTTAGAACTGCTGACAATTCTCTGTGGCCTAAATGATAACTATGAGTATTAAGTACCACTGAAAATCAGGCTGCTCTGTATGTGCATACAATAACCTCAAAAAAAGCCTCTTTTGTCTATTCTGAAAGTGTTTTTAAAGACCATCCTACTGATGGAGGACAAAGGTTTTGAGAATAACAACAAGCATCATGCAAAAGGGAGCCTGATAGCAATCTCCAAGTGAGGATCTGCAGTTGCCTGTGCATTAAAGAGCTGCACAAATGCTAAATCCCTACTTCGGTCAAAATCTCTAATTTGGGGAAGGATCCAATACATCCAGCATTTTAAAACATAAGGTAGTTTCTCCCTCCAAACGTTCTTTTTAATAAGTATCAAATGATGACATCTATAACAAGCTAGGAATTAAAGAGCTTTCAAGCTATCTTCACATCACCAATACTGGTGTGTTCAGGGCAGAGGCTGATAAGAGTCAGTAACTGTTTAAGTCTGCTGTTTGGATTAGCTTTATAAACCTGCTTAGGTCAAATGCCTATACAAATGGAGACAGGTTTTATTAAAGCCAAAAGTTCCACTAGCTGTACAGAGGAAGAAGTCTCCTGTATTTAAGATGATGTTGTTCAGCACTCTGCATGGAATAATTAGCAGCTAGTGTTCTCAGAGGAATTGAGAATAAAATGAATGAGTAATTTTTGATGCAGAATTGACAGCACAGTATCAATGACTTCAACCGTGCTATTATATGGAAGCCTACTGTCTCCTAAGGATAGTACTTGTTGATTCGTAAGCCAAATTACTGGAAGCAGAACAGAGGTTAAAATAAGAACCTCCTGGGTAAACTGGTCTGAATACATAAGAAACTTTGTCCAAGAACAATACTTACTATATGTACTAAGGAGTCCTTCATATTGCACAAGCAATCCAACAGTATGAAGCTGCTGTAAAAATCCTTGATCATGCAAACCTGTGTGCAGTTTGATTATAAACCCACAGACCAATCCAGCGAGCTATAAAGACAGTGAAACCATATGAAATCAACAGATGTACTGTTATAGCACAGTTGAAATGAGGCTTGCTATCATTATGAGCAACAGAAATAATATTTAGATATTTGAGGAAAACAGCATAGATATTTCTGTTCAGTGACTACATACATAATTTCATATTAATATATTATTGAGGCATTTTTTGGTGTAGAAAGCAGTGAAATACTCCCTTATTTTACATTAGATAAGCTTCATTTATTTGTGGGGTTATGTGCTATTTACACTGACAGAAGCAAGACCAGAACGTCCACTGGCAGGCTGTAAACACGTAAGATTGTGAATTATGATGGATTTGAAAGCAGTTAGACACCTAATGCAACTGAATCTCCTTGGCAGTTGCCCTCTAACTCTTTAATTATGTTGGGAAAAACATATAACTTAAGGGAGAAATTAGATGAATCATTCAGAGAAAAGTCTGTCTGGAAAATAAGATCTACAGAAGATCAAAAGCACTTCAGTTATTAAAAGAAGACAAGTCTGAGAAGAAACATACTAATAGTCTTCAAACACATAAAATACTGCTACAATCTGATAACAGATAACCTGTTCTTCATTTCCAAGGTAACCGAGGTAAAAAAATACCTAACTTGAACAGCAGCAAGCTAGGTATTATATTCCAGGCTATATAATATTCCTGGCTAGACACGAGAACTTGACCTACAGGTGAGGATACTGGCATATAATCTAGGAAAACTAAAAATAACCTTATGGATCCTTCTTTGTGAAAAAAAGAGGACTAGGTAACCTTTTCCAGTCCATTGCAGACCTTCTTAACTCAGTGATACAGTTACTATGGATTTCCATCTACTATTATTTTCCCTATCACATTATAACATAATTAAGTGGATGTAATGGCAAATATAGGAAAAAAAGTTGTGTTAAACTGAGAAGAGGAAGAAAAAAAACAACAGAAAATCACAAACACTGGCATGAATAAAATGCTTAATTATAGCAACAGTAGGAGATAAGTGACACAAAACAACCTACTGCTTGACTAAAGACAATGTCTCTTCTTAGGGTCAGCATCAAACACTGTGGCAAACCACAGGCAAGTTCCTGGAGCAGAACAAATGCCATTGATTGCTTTGCCCTGGTCACCACTTCTCCCATGCAGTCCTTCAGTGTAATCACCAGGGGATATAGCTGCTCATACCAGTCACCTAGAAAAAGATAAAATATTTGTTCCAAACCAGAAAACTTGCAATTACAATGCTTTTCAGAATGAAAAGAGGGCTGCAGTGGCTGCGTAGATTGTCCTACATTTTAAAACAACTCTGCAACTCTATCCTAACTGCTGCAGTACAGCAAAGGACACCAGAGGTGTTGGAGGTAGAAATCCAGCATACCACCAAGACCGAGGCTAAATCCTTTGCCTGAATCCAACTATAGCCTGAAACAATGACTTTTTAACAGACCTAACCTCTCTGTAAAACTTGCATTAAAGTGTCATAAACAGAGCACACAGGGATACACATGAAAACACATTTAGCACAAGATGAATACTGTGGAGATGAAGATTTCCTATTGTTTCCAGCACTAACAGCTTGTTATCTAAACAGAGTACCACCAAAAAAACAGACGGAAGAGACTATAATTAAGAAAAAGTGAGTGCCAGAAAGCAAAACAAGAATAAACAGGTATCTGGAAGGGTATTATCTGTTTGATATATAGGCTGGAAAAAATATTAACCTTCAGGTCACATTCTTTTTCTTTTTAGCCTCTCTTTAGATTGTTCTCTTTAAATATCTAGATATACTGAACTCTTTTTTTTTTTTTTAGGTACTTCGAGTGGAGAGATTTAGGACTTCTGTCATACGTTTTGCTCTATTAAAATACATGCTAGGAATATCAGAAAACATAAGCCAGTGAAAATGCTTGAAAAACAGGACTCCTTAATATATTACAAATGAAATGAAGTGATGTCTAGGAATGGAGGAAAATCGAAACAGCTTACTCTAACTTGCCTAATTCCCAAGCTGTTCCTGAATTTTCCAGGACTTAATAAAATCATACCTGCATGGTAGTTGCACATAGGTTTGCCTACCTCTCCAAGCTGATCAAATGACAATAAAAAAACCACCCTCCTTCAGAATCTGCATCTGTTTCATTGTTACAGTTCAAAATAAAAGAGAAAACAACACTGCAAAAGAATCTATATAAAAATAGGGAGTGTAACTGACAACACAGTCCATCGCTTACTCATATTTTCTGTAGATTAGTGTAATTACGAATCAATGATAATTAAAATCTGTTCCATTTAAATTGTAATTAGATGGAAGACAACAGTACATTGTTTCAGGTAACATTCTGAGTCAGGCCAATGAAATACTCATTAGTTCTGGAGAAGTTCTTTAGGCAGGAAGACATAGCTGCCTGTTGCAAAGTCAATTTGGCTATGCTCCAGAAAAGTAGCTAAATTAATACAACTGTAGCCAAGAAGACTGGATAGAACTTTGAAAGCCAGGAGAAACTGAAAAAAAAAAGAAAAGAAAAAGTGCAGGAATGAGGAAATAGGAACAAGGACAGAGCAGTCACAGAGAACAACTTGAGTTCCTCTGCAAATAATGTTTTTGTGGTCAGGCAACATGCATTCTAACACAGTCATACATATTTAAATGTGAGTAATACAGACTGAAGAACCACTCGCAGTTATGAAGTTAGAGCCATCATGAACAAAATAGAACATAAGCCATCCCCTATTTCATGCTCCAGCAAAAAGAGGTGATCTTATACATGCCACTGACTAAGACAGCACTTAACACGCCATGTGCCAAGATCTGGTGTACACATTTTAAGGAGACTGCTGAAAAAAACCCGAGAGCTTGCAAGACTTAGAGTAGTTTAATCTCTTTAAAGCCTATCAAAAAGGCTGAGCAGCAACTTGATGTCCCCTCTCCATGAGGAGAAAATAACAAGTACTAACAAGGGAACAAAAGTGAAAGAACAACCAAAGGCCAGAGGCTACTGTGAGACACAGTCAATTTTAGAAATAAGGTAAACAAGAAGGTGTGACATACTGAAAGTCAGACTCGACAGACCAGACAATTTAAACTCTCCTTTTGAGTCTTAAATTATAGCAATTTATTAAATTAATCAATAAATAAATTCCAAGGAAAGCAACTGCAGCAGAACAAGATCAAAAGATGCAACGCCTACTGAACCTGTCAACAGGGCTGTATGTGACTAAAATAGAATTTCTTTTCTGCTTCCAACTTGAGCAAATAATGAAAAAGATCATACCTGGCCACTTTAAAGCAGATCTCAAGGTATTGATAAGTAGACATGTTCTATTTTCATGGGAAAGCAGAGATGGATACAGACATAGCCAAGGATCTCGCAAGTACACTGACAGCCAGGGCAAGAGAGAAAAAGCTGAATTTCTTGAACTAGCTACACTTTGTAAACCTGCTATTACAATTTCAGATTATGTGGGCAGGGCTAAAAACCTTTACTGACACTCTTGTTCATAAAAGAGGGGGTCACATACTGGTCACATAATACTTAGATCTGACTCTACTGAGCTCCCAAACTTAACCAGTCAATCCGCAGTGTATTTCTGCTTCTTTATGAACATAACTTTGTACTTGCCCTTACTGAGCTGTATCCTAGTATTTCAGTGCTCCATTTCATCAAGATCCATTCTAATCCTGCTCCCATGGTGCTTAAAGCCTCTCCCAGCCTTAAGCATCTGCAAATTTTATAAGCATCATTCATATTTAATAAGCTAAGTCAGTAATGAAAATATTGAATAACACCAGACCCAGAACAAATGTAAGTGGATTCTACCTCATATAGCCCTCCAGGTTGGCAGTAAACAACTGATAACCACCTTCTATTATTATTTTCCAAATTATTTTGCACATACCTTTTAGTACCTTCAAGATCATTTTCTCACAAGGCTGTTTTTGGGGAAATTATGTGTCTGGAATACTAACTTACTAAGTAATTTTTGTCAGTAACAGTTGCATTAACAAGGAATCCAAAGATCTGAAATTCTCAAGGCCATTTTTTCATTGAAGGGCATTCATGCTATATATATTAAAAATAAATCCTATTGAGTACTTAAAGTCGCAAAGAATGCAGAGCTTTACTTATACATATATTTTGTTTTGTAGAAAACAATAAAAACTGAAAATTTGTTGGAAACATTACCCTAATGACTGAGGAAAGAGAAATTATTTTATTATAGAATATAAATAGAATTGTACTTGCCAAAAGGAAAGAAGACAAAACTAAAGCCTCTTGTGATTAAGTTATCCATAGCTATCATCCTACTCCTTCCTCACACTGAAAATCCTTGCTCAAAATTAGTAAGGATGTCCAATCCCCAGAAGGTGGAGCTAGTTAGTAAATCTAAGAGAGGGATTGCACTGTTTCTTGAAAACAGAAAATTTATGCACGGACTAGTATATTCCAATGTCTATCCATTAATTTTAAAGCAAGTTTTGTGTGTTAAGTTCAAAATACGAGATATATCTTATGCTGAGACCAGGATCTTAGAAAGGACAACTCTAAAGAGAAATCTATACAGCTGCTCAATCTTCGGTCTGTTAAAAATCACCATATGTCACTTGTTATGCAGAATATCCTGTTGCAAATACTTCAGCAAGAATATAAATCAGGGTCATTCATTAATAATGCACAGAGCTCAAAATATTAATCAGAAGCACTTGCTTAATAGCGAGTACAACAGCTTTTAAGTTGCTCCTTGAAACTGAGAAGCACTGTGAAACTGAAGTTACTGAAACGTAAAAAAACCCTGTATTTTGAAGCTTACAAGAAGATTCAGTAGAATTCAGAAAATAAAACTGTCTTGTATGCAAGGCATCAATATGGAAAATGAATAAAAATAATAAAAAGCTATTATTTGTAAAGGGAGCTTTAAATCCCTGGTCTAAAATCAGGCTTAGACCTAACTTGCCACAACATCGTTGACATGTGAGGATACTGTTTGGGTAAAAGCTACTGCTTACACATCTGAATTTGGGGAGAGATGCAAGATGCCCTACTACTCCTGCTTCATGAGAAAACTGGCAGTCAGCTCAGAATCAACTGCTGCTGTAAAGAAGGTACAGAGGGTCAGCCATGGCTCAGGACCTCTGCTACAGCACAGACTAATGATAGCTTTTCAGAATCACTTTTGTGTTCAACACATTCAAGAACTCACATATTGACACTTCAGGTGACAAATCACAAGGTTTCTGTCCTTGATACCATGGAAAATCTTTTGAAAAAGACTGAAGAGTAAGCATCTCAAAAAAGACATTGGGAACAAGAACAGAAGCAATAAGGAGACTACAGGATAACTGTCAGGTTGCTAAAATTACAAAGGCAGCATGTTAGTGGTGGACTTGGTAGTCCTGAGGTAACAGTTGGACTTTATGAACTTAAAGGTCTCTTCCAAGCTTGCTGATTCTATGTACTGTTTGGAATATCCAACGATGAGTCAAAGCCCATTGATGAAGCAAGGAAACTCAATTCAAAAATTGTTCTAGTCAGCCACTGGAAAGGAAACTAAGGACATAAAAGCCAAACACATTAAAATGGAAAATGGAAGAATGAAATTAAAAGAAGTGGTATCACCACTATGCAGTTAGTGTATGATTAAAACATATGAATATGTGCAGCAAAGCACCAGTAATACTCCACTTTCATTGCTAACAGAGAGCTGCGGAAGGTCAGTTTATGACAGGATTTGCCCTTTTGTTGCCAGAAAACACCCATCAGTCCCATGTTCTCTTAATCAGCATGCCTGTACAGGCAAATGACCTGTTTAGCACCCAGCTAGTCATTTCCATGTGCTAATATTCAAGTTGCAATATGTCAAACTGCATGTTACATTTGATAGAGTTTGGCAGAAAAGCAAGCTTCTGCTCTGTTCAAAGTCAGACCCATTGAAGTGCCTATTAAAATGTGCTGGTAATAAAACAGGAAAAGCTCCGAGGCTTTGGAATTTGACTTCTATCTCCTTCTGCCCTGGCAACAGAGAAAAAAGCCAATTCTGCCACTGCTGTCTGCACCACTTAAAAATCAGTGGAAATCTTTGAAGGATTCAAGTCACCTCAAAATATAAATGGTATGAAGTTAAAAACTGAATACAGAATTAAAAGCAAAAGAAAGCATAACAGAGGGCCGTACAGACATATGGTAATGAATGCAACAGCAGCTACCCACAACTTTTCACTGTAGCTAACCACTTACCCCCCCTTACTACCTGGATATACAAATAATCCATGATAGGATTGAAATAATAGAGCTCAAAGGATGTAATTGAGTTGTCTTAACATCACAGATCGAACATTAGGCAAAATCTGCCCTATGGAAAAAGGCAAACAAAACAAAACAACCAACACAAAACAGCAGTAAACCCCTCAAAGTAGGCAATGTAAACATCATGGTACTATTAATCCACAGTACGAATTTACTCACCTAGGACAGGAACATCCTTCTGACTTTTTTATTTTCTTTCTTGAGAGGCTTAAAAACTGACTTAGTAGAGCTCAAGTATTAAACTTGGCAGCATAGAAAGGTCAGCTTCCTACCCCATATTGCCACTCTGCTCTTGGAGCTCGGTTTAACTTTAGTATGAGAGCTAAGCTCTTTGAAGAAAGAATGAGGTTTTATGCTCATAATTCTGTGGCATTTCTCAAAGGAATACCAAAAATTTGCAAAAGCCTGCATAAGTCTTCCTGGTGTTTCTGCAGTTAATGTAATAGCAGTTGCTTTGCACAGTTTGGGTGTCCAGAAGAACAATCTTGAAATCTTGGGTATTTATTATTCCATTGCAATCATCTGAGACTTTCTATACTGTCACATGGATTAATAGTGAAAATGGAAACCATCTAATGTTACATATACAAGTGTGTCCGCAGCTTCAGTCACAAGGAAAACAGAAAAAAGCAGCAATGACAATAACAGACATTAAGCTAAGGAAATCTAAAATACTCAAAACATAGGAGTAATGGATAAAACTCACTCTAGAAGTGTTGTGCACCTATTTAAAAATTAGTTTGTTGATTCAGTTAAATAGTATTCCTTTCCCTTTACACATTTTTAAGCTTCCTTTATTAGCCAAATTACTTGGAGAAAGCACTGGAATTATATGCTGGGCTACATATAGCCCAGGTTAAGTACTCTATCAAAAAGAGCAGGCTGATACAAAAGTGTGGGGGAAAAGAAAAGAATGTGCAGAAATAGAGCTGAAGTAAAGGCAAGCCTAAGAGAACAGGAAAGAAAAATGTGGGGAAAGCAAAGAGAAGAGAAAGTTTTTCACAAGTCTTTTGTCTCCACAAAAGAAATATCTGCTACTCAAGCGAATACAGACCAAGGGAGAATTCTTCATTTTCCTGACTAAATGGTAACTTACACTAAAAGCTCTTCTTCTGAGGATGCAAACAAAACCAGAACACAGCTTTATTTCACTTTTCTACCAGCACTGCATTAGGAGGGATGAACTGAAAGACAGAAAGGTTGAATCTAGACTTAGAGTCCCCACCAGGTATCAGATTATTCAACAAAAATTAACCCACACATGCCTGCAGCAATGTGGCTATGAACAGATGTTTCCCTTCATTCTAGCTAGGAAATATGGCACCATTTCCCAGGTGCTCTTTGCTACCTCTGCTGAAGGTTACCATTGGTCCATTCATCTGCCCAGCAACATAGTTTATGGTTCCGTAATTCACTTCAGGCAAAATCCAGGTGCAATCACACTGCCAGCTTAAATTGCCCGAGATCATGTGGTGAATTTTGCATGTAGAAAAACAGGGAATACTTGCACAGAGCCAGCGGAGGAATGGCTTGGTGGTAATTCTGATGGTGTGGTACAAGGAGCAGATGGAACCAACAGATTCTTTTAGCAGCACAGCTACACACGGAGACCTGTTAGGGACAGTGTAAGCATAAGAGCAAACTACCATGTTTCACTGGCACCTCTAATGCTGCAGGACATGCTTTCACATTCTGACTCTCATGGAAAAAGAAGAGGCAAAAATAAAAAGGATTTAATGTTGTCAAGTAGTTCTCCGAGACAAACCACTCTGGAGTTGAAACAATAAAAATCCTTCCTCTCCTTTAAAATCCATCTACTCTTCTTGATTTATCCTGCAGAGAAATCATAATCCTGCAACTGATGAAACCACAGCATGTTACCTTGGAAACTGATAACTCAAATTCAGTCTTAAGAATACACTCAAAGGTCAGACTGCATGAAAAGTTAGGCTAAGGAAGGTATAATTCATATTGAAAGGTAAGCATGAGAAAAAAGTGCCACTGATATTTCTGATGACAAAAAGTCCACAGAATAAATGTTTGGGGTTGGGGGTGGTGGAAAAAAGAGAGTAAGATCACATGATGTCAACACTGAGCCTGCAAATATAAACCTATCTTAGGAAGCTCTGAATACATGTTATGAAAACATCTATTGTTACAGGAATATGCTAGTGCATCAAGTTACTGTCATAATGTCTTCTGTCATCTAAAATGAACACGCATGCAGTCTTTTTCATCTTTATCATTGTTATATGGTACAAAAATAAAGTATTGAAACAGTCAGGTTCACTAATATAAGCAAATATTTCATCCTATATTTATGGTGCACTTTTCATTGTTTTGCTCAAACCCTGGGTATTCCCCATTTTTCTTACAAACATCAGTACAATGTTTCTTCAGCTCAACTCCAGCACTGAAGCAGTTTCAGAATCAAAGATCTATCTGTGCCCATATATTTGCACTGTTGATGAAACGTTATGCTCAAATTATGGTATAATATAATTGCAAGATACAACAAGCTTTCTGTATATGTAATGTTTGTGAATTGTACGTAGCATAAAATTGTAATTTGAGAAATATATCTCTGGGTGTAAACACGGTATGACTTTATATCTAGGAAAAAGTTATGAGCCCATACAAACCAGGCTTCGGATGTAAAATGGAGAAGAATTAAGGCAGAATTTATAACCCTAAACTTAGAATCTCAACCTCTATGTAGGTGTTTCACGGTGAGTCTTTAAGGCTTCACATCAAACTTCAGAGAGAGGATGCAGATTAAAAAAGCCCATATAAACTCCCACTCTCATAGAGAAGTCAAGCATGAAAAATTCTGGCACCAAAGGCAATGGTTTTGAAAATCATCAGGCAAGCAATTTTGGATGGTGTGTGCCAAAAACTTGGCTGGCTCTTCAGAAAGTTCCATCCTTTAAGTTAGTCCTATAAAAGAAAGGAATTTTAAAACATCTCCATTTCTCCATGACCTTGAAAGTCCTATAAATTGTCAAAGGCACTGCAAGATGCTCTCATGAAAATATCATTGGGAAATTACGTCTTCCTCATAAAGGAGAACATGAAAACAGTGATCTGCCCCACAAATCTGCAGTTTCCATGTGGCAGAACACTCAGCACAACTCATCAGAAGCACTGATTGTGCTCTCACAGAAGAAAACTTGTACTGATTCAAGAGAAAAGGGAAGCCCCCGAAATGAAGGGGAAAACAAAAAAAAGAGTAATTTATTCCAGTGCTGTAACATCTTGATATTTTTTGTGCCCTTGGCCTGTCAGCTCCACAAGACAACCCAGCTGAATGAAACACATCTATAATTTTCAAACCATTATTCCTTAGCAAGAAGTACTTTTCATTCTATTTGATGACTGCTTATTATAGTACCTAAAAGGAAGTAACTCTTAAGGGGTTTTGGCTTTGTGAGCTAAAAGCTGTAACCAATATTTCATTTGCCTGTGTAGGGTGTGAGCCTGAATCAAAGCTAAGCACATGTTTTTTGTAACTCCAATGGACTGCTTATGTACATTTTATGGATTATACAGAACAACAGAGGACATGTTCAGGGTTGAAGAGAGTGAAGGAAAATCTGTAAACATTCACTTTGCTAAGAGTGGCAAAAAGCATCCAGAAAGAATTATACTAAGTCATTATTTTTTTTCAGACTGGGGAGGGAGAGGGAAATCTGAAGCTCCATAAAATAAAGTAGTTGTGGCATTTGTTTGTTCTACGGAGTTTTTTTGTTTGGTTGGTTGTTGTTTTTTTTTAACTGAAGAGTTGGACTCCCACCAGTATCACTGAGGAGCTGTTTCATTTTATCCAACACACTTGCACATCGCAAAGTCTTGCTGGATTTCAGAATCAGATTTAATCTATGCTTAGAGAAAGCAATATGGAATGTAGCCATAGGATATCAGAAGATTTGGTGACAACGGCCTGTTGTGGATAAAGTTTTCTTCACATCTCATGGCATCACTTTACTTAGCCCTCAGTATTGACACACACTGACACCTGTATTCAGGGAAAAATGAATTTTAGCAAGTCAGAAAACAAAAATCAGTATAACACTTCAGAAAAGTGTAACAGTTTACAGGAGAATGACACAAAGAGAACGTTCACCTTTCTTGTAAGTAAGACACACTCCATTTTTTTTTCTTAAAACAGTATATTCAAGTAAAATCTGAAATGAATTAAACTACATCAACCTTCAAAGGAAAACACTGTTGCTTCAACAGGTTTTCATTGTAGCACAGAAAAAAAAAAAGAAAAAAAAAAAGAGCATAGCAAGAAGTCTGAGCACACAAGGGAACTATAATTTGACAAATAGCCTTCCATCCTTCAAGGCTAGAACTGTGCAAACCTTGCTATCTGCACTCTCATGAAAGATACTACTCACCCTTCTCTATATTGCTTTTCTGTGACTTTTTCCATGTTTATTTACTCTAGTCAGTGATTAAAAAAAACAAAAGCTTGCTTACCACCTGTATGAAACACCTTGCAATCTGCTGCTGAAGGATCATTTTCACCCTCTTTAGTGTTGCTGACGTTGTCTTTTTCAAGTAATCTGTCCACCATGGCAATAACACAGTTTAAACTCTTTCCCACATTGGCCCATACCCTGTCCTGAAAAAGCATAATTATCACTGCACATTACTGAAGAATTAAAAGAAGAGACAATACTAACTTCTTACTAACACCTTGAAGTGGAGATGTGCAAATTACTGTAAGTATTATTGGGAATATTAGGTGTCAGCATATTACTATTTTTCTCATTCTACAGCCTACTACCAACTTAATCTTTTTTCGTGTATTTTTTTTTTCTTGCAGTATAAATGACTGAAGTGAAACTGTTTGGGGTTTTTAGACACTGTAAAACACACATACTTCAAAGTCTACGCTAAAGTGCGTACTAGGTTTCATGCCCAATTACAACAAACTGAACGGTTTGTCTATTTGAAACAATAAAGACAGCAGACATACAAAGCCTTGCCAAATCAAACCTCCTGTGCAACTGCCATTTTTTTGCCATAGTACATGACAACCTCTTTTTGATAATTTAACATACCCTCCATTTTATCACATCAGTTACTCTGTTAAAGTAAATGTAAATAAAATTAAAAGCCTAGAATTAGAAACTTGCTTTCATGACACGTTTATTAGGTAACACAATTTCAATTTTGTTCTTCACCTGTCACACAAACTGCAACCATCATGCTTAACTGAGTTTATAATAAATATGAGAATTACAGATGTAACAGAATGATAGAATGAATTCTGTACAACAGAGAACAAGAGACATAATATGGAGTGAAAGACAAAGCTGTTATGGAACACAGATACAGGAAGGGTCCTTCAGGTGCTGGATGCTGCAGAAATTGAAGCTCTTGTACCTACTTATATGGAGCTGAATAAGAAAAAGGGAACAACCAAGCTGTACAGAAATGAGGCTGTACAGAAGGCTAGCAGTCAGACTAAACCCAGAACATAAAGCCACAGGAAAAAAAAAAACATATACATGTTTTAACACCAAGTCATTCTGAAACTAATGCAGAGCAATCAGTTTGCTTGAAGATTGAAAAATGGGAAGATAATATCACTGCTTTTCTTTCTACTTTATAATAGCCACAAGCATTATGCATATGTAGCCCTTGAGGCAAAAGACAGTAAGAGACAAGGTTAAAGAAAACTTAAACCTGAGAAATACCGTAGTTCCATAAAAATGGTAACGCCTGGAAGTTTGGTGAAGGCAAAGTTAGAACTAAGGCAAAAATTCAAACTAAGATTTCTTTTTAACTACACGCCACACTTCTTAGGCCATTATCCTGACCACAGGAATCTGATCTTTCCCTGTTCCCTCCAACTGAGGCCACACCCCACAACAAGCAGGCATCCTTGTGTCCTGAGGGACACGACATGGGCCTGCAGACTGTTGTACTGTATTTGCTGAATCTGTACAGAAACACAGTTGCTCAGTGTTGCTGCAGCAACGTAATTTCCCTTTCTTCCGTCTGCTAGGGGAGTTTAATCCCAACACAAAGAGTGATGCTTAATGAGCATCTGGAGTTATTGCATAAGTAACACGAATATGAGCCCTTGTTTCATTTTGGAAAGAACACTTTTTTCAAGCCACCTATTAAGCCAACACTGAGAGGATGTCTATAAAATATTCACATAAACATCCCCTGAAGGTTTAGAAGCAAAATGTTGACAGAAAGCTCACCCTTATTATCAAATAGAATCACAGAATAGTTAGGGTTGGAAAGCACCTTAAATACCTGACTGTTTTACATATGGGCATGTGAGATGGAGCAAGAGCCTGTCCTGCAGTCCTTTTTCTCCACAGTGGAGGTTCCTGGGATTAGAAGATATCACTATAGGCAGACAGAAAAAGTAGATGTGTCTACCATTCATCATGACATTATTCTGTTTGCACCAAAGATGGCCACATTTTGCCAAGAATACTGCTGAAATTTTGTAGTTTGGTAAGAACAATTCTCAATTAAAAACACAATTTCCAATCAGTGAAAACCAAGTGACACCCTGTTAGTCTCTGCGATCAGAAATCCATCCATTTAATGTTCTTTGTCATCCCATACTAGTCCCATAATGTTTCCTTTAGCCAAGCACATTTTACACCCATTTTTCACCTTTGTAAGTGGTGTATTTTCAATCCGCCTAAGAACTACCTTACAGGCCACCATTCTGCAGCATGTGCCAGGTTAAAGCACAAAATGACACCCACAGCCTCTCAAATAAACATCCTTGTAAGCCCTCTGTGTGATGTGAGTGATCAGAAGAAAATAAGTCTTATTTCTCAACACACTGAACTACTATGACCCTAGATTCTCAAGTAAGGATGCTTCTTCCCTGATACCAGTTTGTCCACCAGTTGTTGCGGATCTAATTGGATGGTAAGTTTACTACTGTGGAGTGAAAGAACAAGAGAAACAAGGTTTCTTGCTCCTTCTCCTTACAGTTTCAAGATCAAAAGTCAAGCCAGTGACAGGGAAGGTGTAAAGGGCTTCACCCTGCTGGGACAAGGCAACGACACACTGACATCTTTTACTTCTTTCAAATTTTAGAAGCCATTATTGAGTCCCAGCACATGGGGGGGGAGGGGGGGATGTTGCTGGTTAGAAATGGCCACAGATGCACTTCTCTTGTTGCCTGTGGTGTGGCACTGCCAGGCACACATGCATACTCTGAATGATGTCCACGAAAAGCCAGGCCTTGTCATCACAGAAAGCTGATCACTTTTCTTAAGACATTTAAAAATGAACCTGTATAAAGCAAATATCTTAACTAATGTGCATGATTAACCCCCTCCTGTGATGCGGCAGTACTTTGGAACGGAATATACTGCACACAGGTCAGTATGTCAGACCTGTGTCTGAGTACCATGTCAGTAGTTGAACATAACTTACTGGAAACACCATTTTATCTGTTCTTTGTAGCTTCAACTATGTTAAGAAGTCAGTCATAAATGTAAAGCAGAGAAAGCTCCAAATGCAATGTGCCTACCTTTTCTTGTATTATACATGATAACATGCTTTGTTCTTTCCTGCAGGGAAATTCTAGGACAGCAGAAGCAGCTGGCAAGAGGAGAAGAGACTATCTACCCAGAGGCAATCTGAAACTCTCAAGTTAAATATTTTTCCTTCAACAGTAATGCTTTACTATTGCTTATGTGTAGTGCACAATCCATATCACTGTCAGTTACTATGGGATGAATATTTGCACTTGGCATCAAAGAAGAGAGGTACAACACAGTCTTGCTATCCAGAAGGATGCTTTTTGGAAAACACTAGTCCCTCAGCGAAATAGTATCCTGCACAGTTAAGAAATTGGGAGTTACTCCTTACAGATAAATTTGGATGCGAGGGAAGGGGGTAGACCTCACCTACTGCCTTGAATTCACTTTTGTGATAGTTTGTAAGGTAATGAAGTCATTGGAAGTGGATGGAACAGGGTTATCTTTATGTCAAGATTTTTAGCTTGACGCCACTGGTTTAGATTTCAGGCAAAACTAAGATTGAAAATCCAACTGTAAAATGCAGGTCTAGAGCTTAATAATAGAGTGGGAAAAAACAAAACAAAAAAGAAGGATACAGTACCGTGCATACAAGGCAATGTATCTCAAAGTTTTTCCCTTTATAGTTGATTTTCAGAGTAGATTAAGCATTTTTCATACTTCATATGCATTTATTCTTTCTCTTTTCATCATGCTCATAACAATTCGATCATTACAACTACCATTATTCATTACCTAGATTGACAGAAAGAACTGAAAAATAATGGAAGTCTAATCTATCAAATTTAGAAAAAACCAAAATTTCTCTAGTATTTATACTGTCTTAAGTTTGACAATAACTGACTCAATTTAACTCAGAAAATACTTCAGGATACGCTTCAATCAAGCAGGTAATCTCACTAATTCAGCAGAAAAAAATAGATAAACTGTGAACTAATGTGCTTATATGTTTTAAGAGATGAGAATCAAGCACCTGGCAGAAAAAAAATCAAAAATCAATAATGAAATACAGTAAAGCTAGTGTCCCTGCAGAGAAGCTAAATGACAATACTAAACTAAAATACGGCTTGCACAAAAATGCTACTTATCCAATGTAAAATTTCTCCCTTTTATCAAATCTATTGTGATATTTATCTGAATGTTTCAACAGCTGAAAACAAACATTTTGGGTTTCATTTCAAGGAAAGAGCCACCATTCTGGCCCATTGGGTTGTTGAGAAAACATGAAAAAGTTAATTCAAGGCTCTAAAACCAGCAGACAAATAAAAGAATAAGTTATTTATTGTTTAACTCTCATGACTACTTAATGCATGGGGTTAGAGACAATTGTCTTTCTCTAGAAGAAATGTATTCTTCTTCCCTTATTTGTGGTATGGACAAAAATCACAGTTCAGGTGCAAGTTCTGTACCTCATGCAAGTTATTAAAGTTATTAATAATTTACAATAGCAATTAATATGCTGGCATCCTTTATGTTCATGAGAATACAGTAATGAACTGAAAGCATGAGCCTGAACTGAATAAAAATAGCTTGAGTTCAGGGCACATGTAACAAAGCAGCAGATCCATTATGAACACATCCACCAAAATAATTAATTTACAAAATCTCAGCCATATAAATAATAAAAATCTTTGGAAGATATGATAAGAATGTTAAAATCTAAAAGCCATGTGTAATTTTCAATGCAATCTCAGACATCCTAAGACCCCAAGACCCCTAAGAACAGGGTCTAAGGAAAAACAGCTCTTTTCTTGCTGAGAATTAATTCATGTGTATTTAAACTAGTTATATTCAGCCTTTGAAAAAAAAAAAAAGAAAATAATTTTCCTTCATAATAATGTATGCTACTTTAGTTTCCTTAAATCTGCCTAACTAGCAAAAAGAACTTCAGAAGGACCAAAGACTATTTCCCTGTCTGCGCAAAGAGATATTCTGGCCGTTACATGTACAACCAAGGAGCAACACAGAAGCACGCTCTAGTTGGGAAAATTCTTTCGAGTTATTTTTAAATCTGTATTGTATCTGAAAAATAGTTTTTCACAGTTTTGCACCCCTTTCCCCTCCCCCTCCCAATAGTACGTGACAAGGACATTTAGAGCTTGTATCTGTTTATGCTGATTTGGAGGGGTTTAGGATTGAATAGCAGCTAAGAGTTTATGACTACTTACCCACTCCTCTTCATCATATTCAGAATGATGGGGTATAGAGTCCTGTCTTTTAATCTGAGAAGGATGATCCTGATGCTGCAAATCACCCCCCTCTTCGGTACTGTTTTTAGGCATAGCTGGTTTCTTGAGGACACAGCCAGGCCGAGCTGTGTATAGTGCCAAAAGAGCACTTCTGACCAGCTGATCCTTAAATGCATGCACAAATAACTCTGTCTGCAAAAAAAAAAAAAAAAGTATGAATGAGGAGGTTAGACCAAGGAAGGCAACACTGCAACGTAACTATTATAGGACTGAATTACCCTTAGGTAGAGTGGATATTGGTTTCAGGCAGGCCTGAGAGGTAGAAAACAAAGTACAGCTACAGTGAGGAATGATTCAAGGGGCATAGGGATATCATCACATTCTACAATCCCACTGTTCTAAGGATTAAGATAAAAGTACAGTATCTGTCATAGAGATGATTATCTTTGCACACAATCCTATTCTATTCGACTTCAAGAATTTGCCTGCAAGGATGAACCTCTACAAGGATCAGTTCCAAGAGTAACCAGCCACAGCTCAGTAATTTCTGAATAAATGTCACATAAAATGTAATTAACAAATTGAATAAAACCACACCACTCTACACTGCTAAGACCTCAGCACCTGCAAAAGCAGTGTTTCCAGAGAGAAATTTTGGTACCTGTTGGTATCAACGCACCTATCGCGGCAGGTGAAAACACCTGATTTCTAGATTTAGTTCAATTATTTTTAAAGACATGAAACCTTGAAGTAGTTTTTCTAGGCTCTCTGAAGATGTTATTCAATCACTGCATAATTTTTCTAAATCCTTCTTGTTGACTGTGACAGCTGAAAGTTCACTGTATTTTTAAAACCTTCAACCTCTCTGCAGTATTTATCTCCTTTCCACCCCAACAAGAAAAGGAAAATGCTTTCTCCATTTGGCCTTTTAGCATCTCTAGACCCTCTCCATGTAAAAGCATTTTTGCCACCATTCTGCCAGGCATGCTTTTTTTGCTAGTACTGGCTGCCCTTCTGTATGCCTAATCCGCCTCAACTTTTCTTACTTTCCTGCATCTATACGCCCTCAAAAGTTCACTGACATTTAGACCACAATGCTCTAAATAATTGATGGTTTTCTTAAAGCTCTGGCTGCTGGGTTAGGTACCCGCTTGAAAAGTTTCTGCTTCTTTTACTTTCTTTCTTTTTCAGTACTATAGGACAATTTCAGTTTTCTACATTTCCAGCCTCCAAATGGTGCATGCTCAGGGAATTCATAGTTTCTGGGGAATACTGCTAGCAAAACCTAACAACCCTCTATAAAGAAGAAGCAAAGTGAGACTTGGTAGAGTTGCATGGTAACAGCAGAGCTTATCTTCAAGAATCTTCTACAGTATTGTATTGGGAGAATCTAAACTACTGTGCTTGTCTGTCCTTAGAAATGACAACATCATGGCTCTACTGAGATTTTACGCCTCCCTTTCCACTCGAAGTCTGCTTGAGATTGTTTCATGTCTCTGCATCAGGCATGGTAGACTCAAAAGAGCTTTACATTTCAGAAATTTTATGTATTGGACAATTTGAAGTAAGGAATGACTGTAATATATATTAGGTAAATACCTGAAAAGTCTAAGCAATTTAAATTAACGTAAATATTTTATAGGGAAAGTTCATTTTAAGAAGCAAACTGGCATGGAAGCAAACCTCCATTTTTCTATATAGAGACTAAAAGGCTTCTGTAATTAAATTCTGTTCTGGGATTCCATTGGTTTAACAACAATCTACATTTCAGCTGCATTTTCTTTCTGCTACATTTGCAGAACATCACTATTTATAAAATTGTATTGCAATCACAAAACAAGTCTATACAAAGAAATGAAAACTTTGCAATTTCTTTTAGATACTCAACCAAAGAATATTTCTGCAAACAAAGATAGGCATAGCTGGAAAATGAACTTATCAAGCCTTCTGCAAGCTGCAAATTCTGACATATTTGTCGACAGTTAAAGGCTTTCTTAATCAATTAACAGAAAACGTTGATAAAAGGTTAGTCTCAGGAAAACACTATAGCAAATTGCAAATTATACACAGAGAAGTAAAACCATGAGAAAATAAGCTCAATTTAAGAAGCAGCAGTGGAATTATTTGATTTTCCACTTCCAAGCCATGCACCCAGTCTTTCCAACATAAATACTTAGCTGTAATTCACCTTACTGATAGCTCAGACATACTCCCTGCTACCTAATGTTTTTAGAAAGAATTATTCTTTATATCAAGCTTAACGTTATCTTAAAGTGTTATCCTTTTTAATATATTTGAGGAATTTAATCACCAGAAAAATCATTTTTACAATTTCCTCAAATAGCATTTTCACTCCTAAATTTCTAGCAAGTTAAAATGTACGAGAACATTTCTATTTTACATATAAAATAGTATACAAAAGGTAGGAGAGCAGAATTGCCTCACATGCATAAGAATATAGGTAGGCTTCACATAATTCTATTCAGAAGAGCATACCAAACTATCTTAAATGTAAGCAGGGACCCTTTGTTAGTCTTAATTCTCCCATACTGGACCAGATTACATAGATCGGCTATTTTAGAATACTGAGATGATGCTTTGCATTACCTATGAGGGACTCAGCTGCAGCACTGTGTGGTTTCACTCAGTCTGGGGTTTTGAAACTTAGCATTGGCTTTCTCTGAAGCTGTTTCTTGGTCTTTCTTTTCCAAATGAAATACCTCCTTTCTTTTTTACAGGCAGCTGTGCCTCTACACTAGTTTCCTCAGCAAGGGTCCCACCCTTTTTCTCAATTATGTGTCTTTTCCTCAGAGTAAATTTGGGAATAGCCAGGGAAGCAGGTATTCTGTCATTCATGCAGCAGTTGTTCAGAAAACTGGATTCATCTCTTCCAAGCAAAAGGTGGAGGACAGACAGAAACTATGGGCTGTAGGTGGACTACGTCAGGTTAGACTCCTGCTTCCACATCTGGGAACCTGTGCTCCAATACTAACCAGCAATTTAAGCCTGGTCCTGAATAGTTGATACGGACATATATAGCTAAATGACAAAGGATAAAATATCTGTGACTTCTCCAAACTCAATGGATTGTCTTTTTTGGCCCTCTTCTGTGGCCAGACTCTCCAATAGGCCATGGCTCAAACAATGTCAGTATCACAGCAGCCTGCAGCCACTCTGAAGTCATTCAGTCCTCCAGCCCAGGCAGACAAAGGTGGGAAGGGCAAAGCCAGTGGCTATAGCCACAAACAAATTCTTTAGCAACTGGGTCTTGGATCTTCACAACAAACACTTTGTTTGATTTGCTTTATTTTTGTTTGCACATTTCTCCGAACTAAGCACTAACACAGTGGCTCCACTTTTTCTACATGCAGCTAAGAATGGCCTCCTTTGTATGACATGGAAAGGTATGCTATAACTACCACAACACCCACCCCCCACTCTTCCTTGATCTACAGGCTGAATTCTACTTCCCTACATTGTTCTTGACATTCAGTGACTCCAATATTCTCAGAGTTACTGTGGATTTACACATCTGTAACCAAGAGCAATGTTTATCTCCCCCATGGCTCCAATGTAATGCCTTCACAGTATGTGACTGAGTTCAATATTCAGATTTGAAACTCTCCCATTGAAAGATGTACTGCTGGGATAATAGTGCTCAACAGACCACAGGGGTTGCTACTTCCAATAGCTGAAGATATATTGAAATGATTATCGATAGTGTTATTAAGCCATATTGAGATCACATTACAGAAGGTATGGCCCATGAAGCAATGGGAAACTTTTTTCCAACCCCTCTGGTCAGAGCGTAAGATAACATATGTTTAAAAGTACTTCTGACTTCAGCTAATCTATAGTATCACTCTGTGAGACAGGTGGAAAATATTATCGTCCTTAATTTAGAGCTAAAGAAGCTAACATGAGGAAAAGCCTACAGCTACAGCAGAATATAATACAAGAAAGAGAATTAAAATTTGAGACCTCCTGGGGCCAACTTCTCCTTCCAGATTGTATCACCATTTCTGATCATGGTATAATTCTAAACATTAGCTCAAACCTGGCTTAAGCTACCTCCCACAAGCTCAAATTTGAAGTATGAAAGAAAGAGAACTAAAATAACCATTTATCACGCTGCAAAATCATTTAAAATAATCTATTTTTTTTATAAACCCCAGTGTGTGGCCACTAGAGGATAACAGACACACATGAAATTAATTATACTTTCAAATAAAGACAACCTTTATAGTTTTCATTTATTTTCTATACAGAAAATGCTAAATAATATTCTTTTTCTAATAGCAACATTCTGAAGCTTATTTTAGCAGGGCTTATTTAACATTTGCTGATGCTGTGAAAGTCAATTTATTCAGGAAAAAAACCACCAGTAGTTAGAGAGTTGGTTATTCCATTTTCCATTGCAGTGAAGATTTGAATCTTACTTTTTCTGAAAGCATCTTTAAAGAATTCTTCAAGCTGTCTGGAGAATGCTGGCTTGCAGAATTAAGTAGCAGGTCTGCATGGCTTGATATGAGAGGTTGTAGATGATTGATGTTGCTGAGAACTTCTTTTGCCTTGGCTGTGTTTTCAGGTGAATAGTAAATACACTGGTATCCAGTACTGTAATAACAGAGAAAGAGTCACAAAACATCAAAGTCATTTCTGCTATTAATAGCAATGCTTAATGTGCTAAAAATTTTACCTGGTTTTCCAAACAATGGCAGAGACCTAAACTCCACTGATATCATTGAAATGCTCCTTATTTAAGGCTAAAACCAACTCCTTGCTAGAACAGTAGAGGACAACAGACTGCCCACTACCAAATGCTCCAAGCAGTACTGTTCAACTTAATCATCCCTGTGAGTGATGGATCTTAACACAAGAAAAACAGGTTTTTATTTACTTATTTTATAAAACATAATTCTGGAGAAATGAAATGTTTGACCAAGTCACTGAATAATCACAAAGGTCATAAGGCTCCTCATTTTTCCAACTTGACTCCCCATCACATTATTACCTACCACATTAAGTCTTTCAAAATGAGCCATTACTGTTTAATTGATCAGTGGCCCACACTATGTTTTGATTAGCATCAGTGATGTCCAGGAATTGGTAATAACCAGAGCTATCTCAAATAAAAAGCATGTGTCTCATTTGCAAGAAAAGACATAGAAATAGGGTATGGGAGTTAATTACTACAAAACCACACAAATGAACACTGCAAACTTTCTACTTTTAACTGTTTGCAAACTACTGCAATTCTTTTGCATTCCTACCCCTTGGTTGTTTTTTTTTCTCCAACACTTCCTAATCATGCAATATCCTTTTCATAACATTATTCCAAAATACCATTTTAGAGAGCTTGCACACACCTGTATTCTTCGATGTAGTATACATCTCCCCACCTAAAACTCTTGTATCTAATCTATTTATAAAGCCCTGCTTCAGCCTTTTGGAGAAACTAACCAAAACCTTCTGCAGTTTCAGGTTAACCTATAATGTTAACAAGGAAAAACTGTAATCAAGCAACACCTAGAACATTACTAATGCCAGAGCAACATACGTGCTAGTCCCCAGTTGGTTCTGTAAGCCTATCCCTTCTTTTCTCTTGGGTTCTTTTACCAGACATCCCTTAGACGCTTCTGCCCTCTCCCAACCATTTTAATTTCCTTCTTAATTTCACATATTAGGACCTGAAATTTGTGCAATCCTTCGAACAATATACGCTGTTTTTCATTTCAGTCTTTCCCCAGATCTCTTCACTCCCCCATTAGAAATGAGTTCTAAACTAAATTTAATTTGATAAAGGACATATGCAATGCACATTCAGTAGTCTAAATGAAGCCACTTCCTTACAACTTAAACGGCTGAAGTCTTGTGCCAAATAAGGATAGATGCAAGCAGTCTTAAAATTAAGCCTCTTGCTTAGACACTTTGCTAAGTTGCAGTCACAAATTCCAAAATACCCCAACCTACTTCTCCATCTTTCAATGATGTCTCTATTTTTAGATACAATTCGTTGTGGAGGTAGCCTACATGAAGGGCATCTGAGTCAGCGAAGCTTTGCCATGATCAGTCATGTTACCAGTCACATCAAAATCACTATGTGTCTCCAATTTGCAGTCCACTACATGAATTGCTGTACCACTGAGTGCAGAGGCCAGAATTCCGAATATGTCAACAAAATGAATAGTACAAACTATCTCTCCTACTGATTTTGGAAGGAAAAAAAAAAAAATCCCTGTCCCTCTGGGAAATGAGGAATTGGCCACAGGATTGCCTTCAAGGTGCAAACACTTAGTGAAATGAACTTCCAAAGTTAGAGCTCTCTAAATTTACCACAGCTCTCAAGCTGTCAGAGTCAGTAGACAGGGCAGGGGCAAAGAGTAATCTTTGTAGTGAATTGTAGTGAAGACATAGTCTTAAAAGTCTTGATGCTTCACAGCACTGAATAATCTTCTCTAATTTCCCTTCAGGCTTCCCCCTCCCATTATTAAACAGCCTTTTTGCAGTTTGAATCTGGCTAAAACTGTTATCAAGTGCACCATGCACACACTTCTTTCTGGGATTCCCCTCTGCCTTTAATTCCCAGATCATTTTCACTCATCTCCCACAGCTCTAAGCTTCACCAAATATTGGAGCAGAAAAGCCACAGTCAATGGTATAAGAAAAGAAACAGGAAAGAGAGATACTAAACCTGTAGTTAGTTCTCATTCTAATAAAGGCAATCATAGTTTTTAAATAAAGAAAATAATAAACAGAGAATGAGTTTTTCTTCAAAATGAAGTGTTCAATCAGGCCTCATTATTTGGCTAATTTTAACATTTCCTGACCCCCAGAAAGCATGATATGATTTCAAATAGTCAGTTTCTTTCAGAATTTGAGGGAAACTTTTCTCCTCCAAGAAAGTGCATAATTATTATCGAGAAACAACACGTTTGGGAGTATCTGAAATTTCTAATTGTTGTGTCTCAACAGTGTTCCATCTAAGACTAGCCTAAGATTTTCTGTGGCCTTGCCATTCATGAAAAGACATTACTACTTCCAAGTCACTGAAATTAGTTTCTTTATAAATAACTACTTTTTGAGCTTGATGCCACATACAGCTGTGGTATATAAGCAGCATTACTTAAAAGAAGCAGCTACCAAAAGAACACGTAGAGAAACTTTTCACAGGTGTCACAACGCAGAAACTAGATGAAGGGAATTACAAGTAAGAAAGTTTTGCACTGGGCCAAAGGCTGCATGAGTAGGTCCAGTGCGGGATGCCAGCAGCACTATGAAAACCTACCTTTGATATGCAAAATGTATTATTAGTCAGGTACCTTTTGAAAAACTCTATAATAATGTCTTCTGGGTTAAGTTTCAAAGCTCTCACTAAGCATATTTAATCATTTCCACATATTGGCACCATCATTAACTATGTACATATGACTGTCAGTGGTCATTTCATTTTGAAAATTGGTTTAATGACACGGTCATGTAATTTGAATAAAGATTACATTGACTAGATCTGCAATTTAAATTAACAAAGTTTTTTGCCTGAGAATAAATACTGCAATATGATAAATGTCTGATTTTTAATGACACTCCAAGTAACTCCACTCCTGCTGTTAACTGAGTAATTTGTGTGACTGAGTTAAATTATCACCATCTGGGACTGGGTTAAAATCTTTCAATAATGAACATTTGACCTTGCTTTTTTCAACAGTCAAAACCACAGACAATAACAGCAAGAATCCAGTTAAAGTATACGCAGCAAGAACCTGTACGCCCAGATAACCTCCAGCTTACATACATTACAGAGGATACCAATTCAGTGGCTTATTTATGCATCACATATATTCTGTCTGAAGAGGGAAGTGAGGCTCAAAAATAAATTGAAACATTAAAACCTCTCAACCTCAGAACAATTTGCTGCTTCAGGAAACAAAACTAAACAATGTTATCAGTGCCGAGATTTTCATGTTACCAGTGCTGAAGATTTCCCTTGCAACTTGGAAATTCTGACTTTGAATACTGAGGAAATTAAAATTATTAGTTCTAATGTATCCTTACTTACTAAGTCCAAATCTCCACAAATCCTTATCTTGAAGCAATGGCTAAGGCTATATGCACAGCTTCTCTTGCTATTCTTCTATTTCCTCTTCATTCCTAACTGACCCCTGGAATAACTACATCACTGCCTTCAGCTGGTTATGTTGGACACAAGTTTCAGTCAAAAGAAAGGTCAAGATGCTCTTCATCAGCCCTCTGGAGACCTAAGTAGGACTGAAGCCACAGGGGCATAGGTGAATCTTATAGTGAATCTTCCTAGGAAGACTAAGCCCAGGCAGACTGCATGCCCAGGGAAAGCCTTCCACAGTTCTTTAAATTAAGAGTATCTTTACATTGGTGTGACTTCATGGATCCATGGAAGAGGAACAGTTTTCTTGCTCTCCAAAACATGATCCTTTCTAACCTTCACATACAAAGCTCCTCAACTCCTTCTTCCCTTCTTTTTACAGCCCCAGTCCCTTTTCTTTTATACCTGCTTAAGGAAATGCTTCAGGCAATTCTGTTCTGAGTGTCTAGCACCTGGAAAATACTGATGAGATTTTTATATCTCAACAAATAGTATAATCTTTGTTAGTTTCCCAGCAAAACTTCCAACAACACTGATTTATGGCCAATGAAAAAAAAAAATGTTCATCTCCATGAAGTCTAATCTTTCTTTCTCACACACACGTAGGAATACACACACAACAAAAAAACCAAAACAAAACAAACTACAGTGGAAAGTGGGCAAAGAATAACATCTCTGTGAACAGTGCAATGCATGACAGGCTGTGGTTTCCCTTTGAGAATAAAGGCTACAACTAGATGAAATGCAATTCATTATTATTTCAACGGCTCTGGGATTTTCTGTGGAACAGTACCATTTCAGGTTCCTCAGAGAATGGAAATGGGTTGAAGGAAGACCTCAGAACTGATAAAATTTTTGGTAACATGTATGTTTGTAAAGAAACACATCTCACACCTTGACCAAAAGCTAGGAGTAGTCAAAGAAAAGAGGGTCCTTTTGGGCAGTTTAAACCCAAATTAAATTATTATGGCTTTAGAAAAAGAAAAAAAAATCAACAGAAAATCCATTTCAGTGCTATTCCAGCTTTACGCCTGTGCTAATTTAAAGCAGGGTAATTTCTGAAGAACATGCTAGAAACAGTCTACAAAACCGTAGTGAATTACAGCACCTAATGCAGCTTGTGGGATACCCATTTTTGTTGATGGTGAGTACCAGGGCATTAAAAGTCTTGTAATCATAAGGCTACGTGTTTTGGCTACACCAGAGTTTATCAAATTAGATTTTAAATTAGAAAAAAAGTCCTCGAAAGTACCTTGAAAGTGATTTATGCACATTTTGAGTAGCAAGACGTTATACGTGTGTAACTTACTGCATACAGTATAACGTATACTGCCTTATGTTCCTGCACAAATGAGTTCTAAAAATAATTTGCTATGCCATCTAGACTGGTGATGATGATGATGAAGACTACAAGGCCTTCCATTTGCAGGAAGGAGAAGTAACCTATACCAGCAGGCCAACAGAAGACTGAATCTGAACAACTGACTGACTTTCTCTTTTAGCTAGAAATAAGGAAGGAAAAAAAAAAGAATAAACCAATACAACATCATGAAAAAAAAATGAACCGAATCTGTATTGTTTTGTACACATACAGTTCATATTGTGCAATGATTTCACATATTGTGATCAAACTTCAATGATTTGGATTTAAATGTGATTATGCCTAAAGAAGATAAAAAAAAAAATCCTTTGCTCTTACTGGTCTTGTGAAGTGCATCGCTAGCTACTAAAGGGACAGACATATTAGAGCCATGTCTTATAGACAGGCCTGACATTTGCAGTAGCAAAGCCTTTTATCTATGTTTTTGTTGCAAATCAAAACCAGTACAGATTGTGAATGGGTAATAAAATAATGGCCCTGCTTTCAGACTGCATACCATTAAGTCTTGTTTTCCAACTTCTCCCTATTATTTGAGATCAGATTTTTAGAAATCTTTTTTTTTTTAAATATGATTTTCTCTGTGGTAACAAATGAGAGAACTGCAAAAATACTGCATTTTTAAATAAATAATATTATATAATACCTTCCCCTCTCTTTTGCCTGCACAAAATACATATGTAATAGAAAATTTCTATACATAATAGAAAATATGCCAGCCCTACCTTCAGATACACATTTCCCACATTTCTCTGTTTGATAAACTTTCATGAAACGTATGTTTCAATCTTGTTCTGGTTTGGCAATTGCAAATGCAATTATGCTCTTGCAAAGCAGGATATAACCTTGCTACCAGCTGACAGTTCCTCTTGTTTGTTAATTCCACAAGCATAGATTTGAGCAAGGAATATTTTGTGATATGGCGATACTGTTGAATATTTCAATTACCTATTCTAATAATCACCCTGAAGGTCAAAGGCATGCAAGGCATTCTGTCATGTGCTAACAGTATCCTGAAAGCTATCAGGATTGGCTTGAGAAATAATCTCTTCCCATATCTGTCTCTCTGTATTCAGCTCAGTTCGCCTAGAGGAAACGGCTGCTAAATCTGCATTCTTTTTCTGTTCATTTTATATTCTGACTGATATCTCAAGGTGTCACTTCTTCCTTCAACCAGACCCTCAGAAAAGCTGCTCCCATTGTAAACCAGAAAATTTAAATTGTAAAAGCTGCCCCTGAAAATGCTCTTTGTCCTCAAACTATCCTCATGCAGTTAAACAAACAGGTGCCTACAAAATAAAGTTGTCATTGCCACAGTGAAAGAAATTCTCCTTGGCAAGAATGAGAATGGCCACTTCTTGTCTATATTTAAAGTAGACCAGTTCTTCAATATTCAAATAAGTGAGATCATATTCAGAGCTTACTTGCTCCTGTCTTTTGACTCATATGAGATCTTCTAGTTGAGTTTGCTCTGTGCTGCTCTCAAAGACAGATGAATTTTGGAGGTTTCCTCCTTTCTACTTCATGGGAATTCATATGCTAAGTGTCCATTTCTTCAGGTCTGGTAAGTGATTCGCTAAAATGGCAGTCCCCTGTTTTCAATGCTCAAAATTAAGTTTGGTAGCCTGACGGAGGCTCTCTTTTTTTTTTTTTTAGGAAGAGTCTGTGAGGATACTAACAGTTACCCTAGTTATATCATCCTAAATACAGATTTTTGCTCTTCCGTGGGAACAAGGAAACATGAGAACTGCACTGTCAGAGTAAAAGTCCAGTACTCTGTCCTTGAAAGTCACCAAAATACAAGTGCTTCTGAGGGATGCAAATAAGTCTAAGCGGCAAGGCAAATATAAGGTGATGTGTAGGCACTTTGAAATAGGTATGAAATGCTGTGATAAAATCTGCACAAAGCTTTACCTTGTGCTCTTGATCACAATCTATCAACTTAGAGGTCTACATGACTGAGTCAGTAAAAGAAGAGTGAATAAAAATGAGAAGAGGCTGTGCAGCACTGAGTATCCTTTGCCATAGAACATTGAATAGGACCTGAAGAAATGAGTCTAGCCCATCATATTCTGTTCTCCTGTTATGGCATCTAAGAAACAAGAGCATTGTCTACCCATTCCTATGAGATATTGCAATATGTTCTCCCAGGAAGAACTCAAGAAAGACTAGGTCTCTTCCCTATAAAGCATTTTCCTTTTCTTCAAGGAACAGAAATCGCAGTTAATGATTTCAAGTGTGCCTCACAGCTATCTTCCATTTTGGGAAATCACATTTTGTCAATATGGATATGCTGCAGGACTGCGCAAGTGAGAAACAGTTCATTTTCTGAAAGCAAAACACTTTGAAGTTCTTTATATCACTTATGACATTACTTTCTTCTTATGAAATGCAATAAAAAACCACTAAATACAACTCCAACTATATTAATCAGATAGTTAAAAAGCAGCTATTTTAAGAAATGCCTTTAGACATTTTCTTTATCATGTACTTCATAAACCTCCGTATCATGGGGCTAAGGCTGCCTATTCAGTCGCTGATAGTAGAATATGTACCTATTGTCAAAACGAAGTCCACTCGTGGGTCTTGTGTGAACAGTGATGTTCATGTTTCACTAGCAAGCTCTCTCGTCAGAGGTGGCAGGGAAATGAAAGACTTTGGAAGATTTAATAAGCTTTTTATGTCATGCAATGCAAAGAGAAAAATAATAATGCAGCTTTCAAAGGAAATACATCTGCTGGTTTCAGTTTGGTTTTAGTATTGATGCCAATTTCTAGTCAACCTAGAAGTCAACAATATATTTTTGTAATTTCTGCTCATTCTTTATGATATTGTAACTATGAAAATTTTCTTAGCATTTAAAACAATGGAATTCATTTTCTACAGAGCATCCCAATGCTTAGATTAGCACATATGCAGTACCTTCCTGCATTCTCTTTTGAATGTTGTGCCACCGACTGCATGGGGTTGGCACAGTTAGTTGAAGCATTGAGCAGTCACAGCTATGGGTGCTGCCAGTGACAGCTGTGGCTGCTTGAAATGTCTTAACAGCCATAGCAACAAACACAAATACGTCCAATTCTTGGTTAGCAAAATATGCAACTAACAGTATTGTACATGTTGAGTAGTTAACAAAGCATATGAGTACTGCAATAAACTGAAACCTTAGTTAGGGTTTTATCTTTGCTTATTCTTGTTTCATCTTTCTGAAAAACAAGAGGAGTTCCTTATTTACTTCACAGACATGCTAAAAATACTTTTGTTCACATATACCCAAAGCTGTCAGAAATGAAGTTACTGTTTATTGAAAAATTGTCTCTAGCCACTTTCCACTTAGCACAAAAATTACCAAAACACTATCTCATTCTGCACAGCATGTTTTCAGGCACTGATATTCCTCAAGTTCCCAAAATATAGGAAGAAAATGTCACAATTTTGAGTTTGTGTTCAAAAATGGGTCTTGGCACTAGAAGCAAACTCTGCTTCAATTTTGCAGCCCAATAAAGCAGAGAAGATAAAGGAAATAGGTTATAAATGCATCCTTGTTCAGTCCTACTAGATTTTAATCTTCCATGTGTTCAGCAGGGTAAACCATTTTGTTACTCAAGTGAGCTCATAACATTTTAATGCAACTTTAATGATATTTTCCTAGCTACTTATAAAATTACTTACTTTCGTCTTTCTGCCTCAAATTTACTCAGTAGTTTTCGGAGACCACCATTCTTAAATCCTTGGAAATGAGCCGCCGGCGCTCCCACCGTGATGACATCATACAGAGCATCTGGAACAGCAACAGACAAGCACAGAGATTTTCATGGGCCTATCCCCATGGTATGGCAACACTATGATATTTACTCTACAAGATATGAGGACAACAGGTCTATATTAGTTCCAACGAATAATAGAGAATCTGTGTCTCAAGGAGGCCCAAAGGCTAATCAATCTTTCCATATAGCCACCTGCTCACCTTTGAAAGTTTATCTGATTTATTGCTACATCTAAATTATATGCCACAGCACAGAACAATATTCTAGCTCTGCAGTTTACAAAGCTGCCAAGTAAATTGCCCCTTTGTGTATTTTACTTTATTACCCCTTCCATTATTTAACTTGCAATTATGTTGAGATGCAAAGTTCAAGCATTTTAGAGTCAAAAGAGACCATTATGATGGAACTGAAGAGTCTGACTGCTTGAATTACAGCTAATGATTCCAGCATCAAGTTTATATTTTCTGGCTGAGTAAAGGCATCTTTAAAAACAAACAAACAAACCAACACAATCTGATTCTGATTTAAAAACTTCAAGTGACAATGAGTTTGCTATATTCCAAGAGAAGTTGCTCCAAAGATTAATCAATCAGTCAAATCTCCACTTATTTCCTGCTTTGAATTTGTTTAGCTTCCACTTGCAGATATAATTACCTGTTTAATGCTAAATTGAAGAACCCTGTTCTATGACATGTACTTCCTTTTTATATATGCTTATAAACACAGAGAATGTCAGTAGTCTTCAGCTGAAAAGCTAACAGAACGGAAAATATACCATACTATTGAAATTCTTGATGAGACAACAAACTGTTATTATTCTCTGTATGTACCTGATATCTTGTGACATATGGGATGAACTTTTCCTGTATGGTTACAGAACTGGAGGTGGAACATCATCTTAAAAACAGCCTTTCATTTTGTGCCTGTGATTGATTGTCAATGCAGAAATGAAGATTTAATTACACCCCAAACCACAATAATTATTCCTTCAAGGTTTAAATTTACATTTGCAGAATTTATGTTTGCAGTAAGCAGTACCTGTTTTGTGCCCAAGATTACTGGAGGTATAAAAATACAGGTCAGAATGCCTCATTCTTACAATGTATTTCTAAAGGAAGCGTTAGAGGAGTTTTTTCTGTGAACTACTTTATTCATTAAGGAAGCTTTGCATTTAAATTAAAATCTAATCCATTCCTAAAATAGAACTTTTCTTGCATTTTGATGATAAATATCCCTAGAAGCAAGAACACTGCAGAAATGATTCACAGTTAATGAACTATGTTTTATTTCCAGAGTTGAATGTCAAAGCATATTCGCTCAAATTGATCTGCACTCTAATTGTGACTCTTCAATTTCCACTTAAAAGGAGAAGTGACATAATTTCATTAGCCTAAGGTGAGCATCAAGATTCTTCAATAGCCCATTCTTTCAGGTCTTAATAGACATTAGTCCATACTACATAATCTTGGGCTATTAGAGCTCTATCAGTACTTGAAAATAAGTAGTTCTATTCCTTAAAAAAAAAATGGTGGCTTGAAACCAAAATAAGATATGAACCCATCAGGGTAACTGAATAATGGCTTCTGAATATGTTTACAGATTAACTCAAGAAAATACTTAAAAGAGTAAACCCTGGTGCTTTTGCTGCCTCTGTTTTAAAAAGCAATAGTGACCCTGCTTATAGCTAACTTTATGGAGGATTTGCCCACAAGGAAGCTTTAATTCAGCCTATGGCATCTTCTTATCATGGTCAAGGATGTTTGAGACACAAACACACCCAGAACTTCTTAGCATCTACCCCATGCAAGCAAACATAGGAGAGTGAGAGTGGCTAAGAAGAAGAAAATGTCTATGACCCTAGTAACAGCCACAGGGCAGTCTCAGTCCCACTTTCCAGAAGACAGTATGCTGGAAAGTGCTGCAAGGAATGCCTTTTAATGTGGTCCGCTTTCACATCAGTGAAGCTTCTTGTAAGGCATATGCAGGGTCAGCATGAGTGCACTGGTATAGGAATGCTCCATTAACTCACAACCATTGTCCAGTTCAAGAACAGATGACTGTTGACAATACAGTGGAGACAGACCTTAAAATCCAGCAGAGAGTTGTAGGAGCTGAACCATACTGTCAGCATGCTTCTCCCAAAATATTAATTAATAGGTGTTAGAAAGACCCCTCAACTGTTCTTCAAATACCTACTTCAGGAACTGAAGGAAGAAAATGCAGAAGATTGGAGTGCAAGGAAACAGAGCTTTGAGTTAATCATTTCATACCAATTATTTTGACTCAAAAATATCACTCACCTCCTACTGGTACAAGTGAAACACTAACACCAATTACACTTGCCCAAAACCAACAATCCCTTCACCATGCAGAAATATAAACTACCTGCCCATCGCCCTTCACAAATAAAACACAGCTTTTGCAACATGATGACATCCACAGTGACAGAAGTTCCATAAACCTAGGCTTTACCAGACCAATTTAAAGAGCTGAGGGATTTTTATGTCAAGCACAGCTGAATATTGAACTGAAGTAACGTGTTTGCCTTCATAGAGATGGTATCTCCCACTGGCCAGAAGCAAAATAAAAATTTCTTCAGTCCACCAAATTTGTTTAAAACAAACACACTTAATGTATGAACAGGGACAAAAGCAAAGCTACGGCAATATATAAAACTGAACTTTGTAGTATGATGAACAAAGCAAAGTGTGGTGTTTATCAAATACATAGGGATTCAGTTATCCCATAATGAAATAGTATTTTTCTCAAAGCTGTTTCTACTGTAAGTTTAAACACACATGTATTTTCTATTCCATGTCAGTCGCCAACAATATCCAAAATCAAAGTTTGGTAAAAGTAAGCCTGTAATTGAACATGTTGAACAAAAAAGCACATATCAGTGGGCATGCATATATGGTCACAGGGATTAAAACCTATTTTGCATTCCCAAAATTAAGACATCTGACAAGGTAAGGGTTAATGACAGTTTTATGGCTCATCAGCTTGTTTAATCACCACCTCTGTGAAAGTTTACAGAACTAAAGAGATGGGATGGTAGCTGTGTAATAGATAGAGAAATAATTTATCCAACCAAAGGCAAATATAATAAAAATCCATTGCTTTTTGCTGTATCCATACTATAGTGCCAGCAAAATATCCTGAACGTATTGAGGAACCCATTTTGTAAACAGAGAAATAAAAAGAGCTCCTTGTAACTAAGGTGTCAGTCCCAGAAATACGGGCAAGCAGAAATACCCTGATTTTAACACAAGTTCACTTCTCTATTAATGTTTTATGATCTCTAAACTCGAGTGTAACAAGAACAGTTTTATCTAATTCTTACATCAGCAAACCAAACATTAGCTAAAGAAAAAAGGGAGTGTTTAATAACGTCAAGCTCTAAATTTAGAATATTATTCTAACATTTAATTCTTTCTGTACCCTTTTCAATTATAGATTAACCATATGCCACAAGTAAAATGATTTTGGAGGAGAAAGGAGAAAATTCATTGTAAACAAAAGAAAACAAAACTCCAGAAGTGCAAAAGTTGGGGGTGATTAAGTAGCATATTTCATTCCACTTTTTTATTTAGCAAATAAACATACAATGTCCTGTGGCCAGAGGTTTTCTTGAAAAGACGTAAAATTACAGTTCTGGCCATGTGTAGTCATTACAAATCTAAAAATGCTTTTGAGTGAATTAACTTCAAAAAAGTAGCTACATTAAAATTCATGCTGTCATATTCTGTCACAATAACTCCCCATCTCGTTAAAATGTTTGGAGGAACCATTGTTTAGTAGAAGAAATAACAAAATATTGACACAATACAGTACCTAACAGATACTCAGAAGTTCCCATGTTCTAAATTGGAATGAACATCAGCAGTACACAGTCTAGTACTCCCACAATCATTGTTTCTACAGACCATTTTACAATCTGCTTAGATGCAGAGTGTATTTACAAGGCAAAACTTTACAGTGTAATTTACAAGTTTCTACAGTGACAGCAAATTTAATAATCTCAATTTATCAATAAATTATTCACTGTACTATGATTTGCTTATATACAATCATTTATCTGTAAAGGATGCTGCTAAAATTATATGCAAGCAACAGTAGCAGAATTCTGTATGAAACAGAATCACAGATGACATTACAGAAAATTATCACCCTTTCCATAAGGTATCAGATGTTCACAGTATTTTCAGTATAATCAGAGAGATATTTTCGTTTAATGCTAAGCAAATGCTTACATGGCACAGGTTAGCTGATTTAGGCACAGGCAGCATTGGGCTTATTAAGGCTTCCTGAGAAATAGGATATATTTGGAGAAGGCTGAGGTTCTCAATGACAACTTTGCCTCAGTCTTCACCGGCAAGTACTCTAGCCACACTGCCCATGTCTTGGAAGACAGATGCAGGGACTGTGAGAATGGAGACCTTAGGCCCATTGTAGGAGAGGATCAGATCTGAGATCATCTTAGGAACCTGAATGTGCACAAGTCCAGGGGACCTGATGAAATCCATCCACAAGTCCCAAAGAAGCTGTCAGATGAAGTTGCTAAGCCACTGTCCATCATATTTGAAAGATCACGGCAGTCAGGTAAATTTCCTGACCACTGGAAGAAGGGTAATATAACCCCCATTTTCAAGAATAGGAAAATGGAAGACCCGGAGAAATACAGATCAGTCAGTCTCAGTCTCATCTCTGTGCCTGACAGGATCATGGAGCACATTCTCCTGGAAATCATGCTAGGGCACATCAAAACAACAAGGTAATTTGTGACAGCCAGCATGGCTTCACTAAGGGGAAATCCTGCCTGACCAATTTGGTGGCCTTCTACGATGGGACTACAGAGCTGATGAATAGGGGCAAAGCAGTTGACATCATCCATCCAGACTTGTGCAAAGCATTTGACACTGTACCATGCGACATCCTTGTCTCTAAATTGGAGCGACATCAATTTGATAAACCACCTGGTGGATAAAGAATTGGCTGGATGGCCGCACAGAGAGTTGCAGTCAATGGCTCCATGTCCAATGGGAGACCAGTAATAAGTGATGTCCCTCAGGGGTCAGTGTTGGGATCGATCCTGTTCAAGGACAGTGGGATTGAGTGCACCCTCAGCAAGTTTGCCGAGGACACCAAGCTGTGTGGTTCAGCTGATACGCTGGAAGGAAGGAATGCCATTCAGAGGGACCTGGTTAGATATAAGGAAGAAGTTCTTTACTGTGAGGGTGGTGAGGCACTGGAATGGGTTGCTCAAAGAAATGATAAATGCTCCATCCCTGGCAGCGTTCAAGGCAAGGCTGGACAGAGCCTTGGGTGAGATGGTTTAGTGTGAGGCATCCCTGCCCATGACGGTGGGGTTGGAACTAGATGATCTTAAGGTCCTTTCCAACCCAAACCATTCTATGATAATAAGTTTAGAAATAACACCACCCCTAACTGAACCTTGCAACTAACATCACCTAGGCTGGTAAATTTACCCCAGCAGTCTCTAGGAGGAAATATTTTGTGCTTTTATCACTATCTCTGGTGGCACAGTGAGGGGGAAAAAAAAAACAATAAACCAACCAACCAGAAACACCTCAGAAACCAGACAGGTGAAACTTGCTTTTTTTACACTGCACTGACATTATACACCACAATGGAAAATTAAGCCAATGCTCTAGAACGATGTGACTCTTACTGAACACTGTGCAGTGTGTCTGTATGAATCATGACAGTATTAGTTCTGCACTGAAACCACACATTATTTTGAATCATACATAAGCTACCGATACATTTCAGTGAACATATATTCTACATTTACTTATTTGTTCAAAGCTTCATAGAAACAACATGAGCACAACACACCTGGAATTTATAAAAAAAAAAACCCACAACTTAAAAGAAATATTGTTAACCACCTCTTAGTTTTTCATCTGCTACCAGTATCCAAAACTTGTGCCTTCAGAAGACGAGGCAGAGAAATCCCTTGCACAGCTTTAAATTTGGGCCTGATTCCTACTTTCCAGCACAGATCCAGGTCTTCTAGTCAATCCCAGTGGCAGTGTCTGCATGCTAGTTTAAGAATTTGAAATCTGGAGGGTGGGCAAGCTGTTGACTTCTTTGATCTCATGATTTAAGTGGGGTCTTTTATGGACAGTACATAATCAGTTGCCCTAGAAATATTCCAAACACCACCCAAACTGGAAAGCTTGGATTTTAGAAGCAGATGTACAGGCATGAGAGAATGAAATCAAAACCTTTGGGAAGACAGGTTCCAGATATGTATACAAAACAAAGGCAAGAAATAAACACACAAAGTTTCTAGAGCCCACTAAAGTGAAAAAAATAAACAATTTAAGCCTGTAAAGCACAGCTTTTTAAATAACAAATTTGGAAGATTGATTTTGATTTTATTAGAAAAACAAAACCACCAAACCAAACCAAGCAACAATCTGGTCATGCAAGAAACCATCTGTATCAAATCTTACAATACTGCACAAATTTTACAAACGAGCTAATACTGCACAAACTTCACTAACTGGCAAAATGCATGCAACAGGAAATGAATCTCAGAATTTTCTTTATAAGTCACTATATTTCTTGTGATATGCTTTTCTCCTCAGCATTCTCCAAACCGATAAAAGTCCAAATTGCACATAAATTTACTAAAAAATGAATCAATGTAATAATATTATTTTTCATGCTTTTTATCTGTAGCATCTTTTTGTCCCACCTACAAAATTTAACAAGAGTGATTAAGTAAAAAATTCAAAATTACTAAGATTCAACTCTCTAAACAGCATACCTTTCAGTTCCATTGTAGTTTTAAATCTGAAAGCATGTCCACCCAATGTTCATCCTTAAAACAGGATATACAGATTCAGATATCTACATCTTAAAATGGGCTACAATGAAAACCATATCACTTAGTTGAATGTTTAATTGTATTTCAAAACATACTTTGTCATACTTGGAAAATTTCTCTGCAGAATATACTTTACCTTTCAATCGAGGACTATGCACATGCATTCTTTGCAGATGAAGATTTATTGGGATGAATTCTAATGTTTTTTCTCCTTTGCTACAGCTTGATTTGAAGGAAGAACCTGAAAAACAAAAGTTTAAAGAATCATTATCTTAAGCACCCAGCAGATGTTTTGTCTTCCTTTTAATGCGAGGACAATACTTGTATGTTAGGAGTCTTCTTTAATTTACTTTTAATGTTTAACTGTATATTAGGAGAAGAATGGTTCACTAACTGAGTCTCAGCATGTATCCATATTGGAAGCAACAAAACAGCTTTTAATTCAGAGAACAATCTAATTTTTCAGTCTAGGTGATAGACATCTTTTCCCGCTGTTTCAAATTGCTCTGCAGTCTGCTGGAAACAATGTCACAGTTAATGTGTATTATGTTTATTCTGTGCTAAACACACAGGGATACAGAGCTGTGGAGGTACTATATTTTCACCAAGTAACATTTTTTTCTTCAAGCAAAAGGATTACATTGACAAGGCTATGCATTCTTCCTAAAAATTTCAAATAAAGAAATATAAACTAGCTTAAGAAAAGCTATAAATGGGTTTTCTTTCTAAAAAGCCAGAACCAGAAGCAGCGCAATGTACTGGGAAAGAAAAATAAAATCTGGTTGCATAATTCCAAAATGTGAGATTATGATTAACTCTATGATGGCATAAAGGAATATAATTAAAGCCTGACAGTATGAAAATGTAATTTACCTGGAGGTATTTGATAACAGTATATGCATATATAAAATTAAAGGGTGTAAATTAGGAAAGAGCCCTATCTTCTCACTCAGGCACCCAACATTTATCTAGACAATTTTTTCAGCACACTATCATTTTCAAAGGTCTTTGAAAAGGTTCAATCAGTTCAACATTTTCTTAACAGGAAAATATGAAATATTTTAAATTATTCTTTTTGACTTCATCAATCAAGATCTGCTAGGGGTTATCTGTGGAAAATGCGATAGATTCCAATAAAACTAAGTATTGAGCTTCCCAATGCAAATCACATTGCCAGAGGGCACCAGTGATGCTCCAGACCAGCCAGGCTTGGTTAGGCTGCTACCTAAGCTTAGTAACTAAATAATATAACTAAGATTAAGAGCAAAAGTAGAAAGAAAAGCAACTGACAGAAGTCAAAGATTCAGCTTTTACAGAAAATTTGCAGATGCAAACTGAAACGAGGAACCATGGATGATGAAGAATACCAGCAGGAAACCTGCACCTGGAGAGCATAGAAAGACAAAATTATAGGAACAGTAAAGGGAACTTCAACTGTATGAGGAATAGTGTAGATGAGGAGACTGCAAATCATTAGGAAGGAAATCCAGAAGAGTGCAGATTATTTATCAGAATTCAGCTGAAACCAAGATCAAAGCTTAAGGAATGATAACTGCATCTGAGACAAGGAAACACTGGAAGATAAGAGTAAGATGTCAGCAGATTAAAAGGGACAGCAAAAGAAGAGTAGGAGGGAAGAGAAGAGCCTGCTTTCCCTAGAGTATACTTCTGTTCTGGGCTGGAGTTGCATACATGCAGCATTGCTGAGTCTTGTTACTTCTCTTTTCAGGGAAGAGCTGCGAAGCAGAATCCCTTCCTGTCCAGCACCAGAAACACATGCGATAATAACCACCCACTGCTATCAGTTATTCTGTTTACTCAGGTATGCGATATTAATGCAGTGGCATTAATACCTCGGTCTGCGTCTGCCAGTATCATCCATGTGATTAAACTAATTTCTAATGTAGTTTGTTAGTTTTTAAATAACTTGGCAAATTGTATTTAATGACCGAGAAAACTACAACCCCTCTATTCAAACCGTTGTTGTTGTTATTGTCGCAAGATTAAACTCTTCAAAGTTAGGAAATACAGGAATATGGATGCAACCTTCATCTGACATCCATCTGAAGAGGAACTCCGAAATAGACTTCAGTGACTTATCACATTCTAGCTTTTTTCCAGCTCATTGAATGTCTCTGCTGCTCACTTTAGAAATAGTGATTCAATATTTTGTTTCCAACTTTTACTTAGGTATCTGGATTCAAATATACTGCTCAAGCTTCCCACAAAGACAGGATTATTCATTCCCTCAAACCTGCATCCCAACAGTTTCTAAGGGTTTTACAAATATTTATAGAATAATTTTAACTGGCTGAGAAAAAGGGTTATAATTTTATCCATTCTAATGGCAGACAATAAAAGTCAAATCATTTAAGAAAACAATGCATCAATATGAGATATGGAGGATGTCATTCTGCAGAGCACGCATTATAATGCAACATCACATTCCATTTTGGAAGTGCAGCTCCCACTGAGCTGAATTACATCCATGAGTACTGAGTACGTCTGCAAAACAGCTGGTGTCTATTGCCAGGCTTCCAAAAAAGAACATCACACACTAACCAGTTTTGAAGGCTGTCTTGCCTAGTGTCACATAAAGACCTTTGTGATAGAGGCAGGGATTGCCTTAAACTAGATGGACAGGATTTTCAGTTTGATGACTGAAATGAAAAGAAAAGAAAAAAAAAAGAGAAAAGGTATGTTTGGAAATTATCTCAGGTCAAACTAAAATGCACACAAAAAAAAATAATTTTCAAAGTTCTACTCCCTCCCCAAACCACCAAATCTGTGTTTTAAATTAACCTAAAATTATTTGTTCTGATGTTCTCTAACCCTTTTAGATTTTTGTTATGTTTCCTTGAAACAAAAATACTTATCATTCTCTAAAATTCTCCCCCATTTTTGAGGGGAGTTGTTTGCCAAAACAACTCAAATTTGAAATAGTCTTAATTTCCTTAAACCTCCATTTTCAGTAAATACGCTGTTAAATCAAAACTGCTAACAGTAATGCAGTCTCCTGATACTTTCAGTGCAATCTCTCAAATTTAACAAGAAATAGCCTTCTCCATTAAATTCCACAAATAGCTCAACTGAATCTGAAGTAACTATCTCTCAGAAAACCCAGCATGTGATTGTATAGGAGAAATGAGGGAATATTTTGGAAAAAAAAAGAATTATTTGCAGATGCTATCTCCCCTCTCTACATTGCTTATGAGTTAACAGTCTTCCCTAGTGCTGATACAAAAGGAAGTTGGAGATATGTGCATCTAGATGACTCACATGGAATTGTTCCTTAGAAGTGGATTTATCATCTAATTTAATTGTGACATCTAATAAGATATTGCAGGGTTGAGAGTAAACGTTGTCTTCATTAGAAGGACTAGGCTATTATTTGGCTTTAAAATGTGCAGTTAGCCCACTGATCACAATAAAATAAGTCTTTGAATGTTAAAGTAACTTTTTTTCATACAAGATGCAAAATCAGGGGTATTCCAAGTATAAACAAGTACTGTATTAGTAAGGAGGTATACCTGTGTGTTAGCCAGCAAATTAACATCTTCCCCTTATTTCTCATCTTCACTACAATTATTAGGTTGCTTTGTTTCCTGCTTTGTTTTGTTTTCAGAGAGAAGTTCCTACACTTTTTCGTATGGGCTGGTTCTGTTCTCCTCAGACCAGGTTCCCTGGTCTGTTGCAGTTATCTCAAACCACAGTCAAGACAGTTCATTAACATCACCAATCTTTTTAATTTCACTTGGACTTCCAGGATTTATGCTTAATAGATTACAGCGTCTACTTTCATTTTATTCTCAAAAGTTTATTTCAATCTTTTCCTGCAAGTTATAATTATTACATAGATTCTTTCATAATCTGTATTTATTGCCTTGCATATGATATTTTATGGATTGCTTTCAAAATGTTATTAGCTCAGCATTAAAAGCCACATTTATATCAGTTAAAACACAGAAACATAGGAAGTGTCATGCTGGATCAGAGTGCAGTCTGCCAAAATCAGATCTGATGATGGAAAACAATCATAAATACAAGGAATTACAGTTCTGCAACCAAACTGCAAAATATTATACAACATTTAGTGTAAGAGATGAGCTTTTTTCCCCAACACACACACTCATTAAAGCAGGTGATCAACTGCTCCCAAAATGTTTAGTTTCATTTAGGGACTCTGTTTTGCTCATACACTGAAACAGGGTTTCTCTTTTCCTGTGACCAAGAAAGTCACTGAACTCCAGAGAGTAATCTGCAATGAGAAATACCATACTCAGTCCTGTATTAGAAGATGATTGCTAAAGGATAAAAGTACAGTTTGAATGAACATTTTGGAAGGGAAAGATTTGTGTCTCAACTACTCAGTGCAGCAAATTCATTCTAAGCACTGAATTCTTTAAAAGAAATAGTTATTCTGCTATGCATTTTAGTTGTATATTGAGCTAAAACCCGGTTAATCCATTTCTCAGTAGACACAGAAAAAGTTTTGTTTGCTATAACTAATTGCGAAATTGAAAGCTATAACTCATTAAGAAAATACTGCAAATTTTCCATAACTATATACCAGATATTTCAAAAGATTGTATAATTTGTACCTCTATTTTTACAGAGTTTCATAACCATAACGTATCCCTCCTTCAGGAATATTCTAGGTTGCAAACTTCTGTATATGTAACACAAAGTGCAGTGTTGACCTCTGACACATACTGCTGTGCCTACACACACGTAAGTGTGGGAGTAGGACCACAGTGGGAACATCTAGCAGTGAGACTACGTAGCAAAACAGCATATGCAAGCAATAATGTCATCAAAAACACATATTTGAAATGGTGATTGTGAGGACTGGTGTTAGAAATCTGACACCAGCAAGAAAGCAGCAACAATAACAAGGCCTTTGTAGTAAGTTAGAACAAATGTGTCCATTTCCTTCCAGAACATATCAAAAATAGTGGTGTGTGTGAGTGTGTGTGTGTAGGAGGCACACCAGGAGGAAGAGGCAAAAAGTTACGCTATATACTGACCGAAATCTTTGTTTGCTCTAAATACAGTGTTATACAGGAAATAATCACAGTAGTCTCACAAAATAGAAAAGAATTATCCTAAGTTCCTTGAACGATTACGTGAACAATCAACTTGTCTTGTTATGAATAAGAATTGCTACAGGAGGAAAAGCCTAGCTGCCTTTTCTTCACATTTGTCACTGATGCTTCTTCCACTGCCGTGCAAACGCTCTGACCACAGGACTCTGGCAGATATGAACTGAACAAGCACCCAGAGCACATCTGAATATAAGACCACAGGTTCCACATGAAGAAAGGTGAGGCAGCACATGCTGCTATTTCTGGACTGAGAGCAGACTGATCATCCCATGTTAGTTCTGTGTTTTTCTGGCACAGTGTGGGCAATGACAACCACTACACCAAGGAGATGTAATGCATAGCTAGATATTACTGTTCTCCTGTAGACTGTTAAATGCGACTTCCTTAATGAAACCTCATTAGGTCTCAAGAAAAACTGACAAAACCACCTCTAATGGTGGTTTCAATTAGCAGATCAGAGCAGTCTGTCCAAGAGAACATGCGATTAAAACATGCATACGCACACTCACTCCTATTTTTTTTTTTATTTTGGCTGTTGTGTAACCAAGAATAGATGAAGAAACAGGGCACCTGTGAGATCTCAGAATTACAAATATTTCATTTCTATGTGTTTTATTTCTGCTGAATATACCAATCGCAGAATGGTTTGGGTTGGAAGGGACCTTGAAGATCACCTAAGTTCCAACCTCCTGCCATGGGCAGGGTCACCTTCCATCTAGACCTGGTTGCTGAAAGCCCCCCCCCAGCCTGGTTTAACTGCTCCAGAAGAGGAGAGGCTACTTTCATGGAATTTTGGAGCCATAGATTCATACCTGTGTGCTTCCCAAGCTCTGCAAGAGTATCCTGGTACATGCTCAGCATCTGATCACAATGAGCAATAACACTTTTTCGCATATTGTCCCAGTGAGGGGCAAGTTCTCCCAGATCTTTAAGTTCTTGATTCCTGTATCAAAAGGCAAAAAGATAAGGTTAATTAACTCATGAATTTGTTAACATTCATCTAAATTAATCTAAAACCAGTTTATTAAAAAAAAAGGACTTTCTAACATAAATAAAATCTGTTTTCATGACACTTGTAAAATCTGCTGATTTCAGCTCATTTTTTCAGCTACACAATAAAGAAAGTCGATTCAGTCAACAGTACAGTAATTTCTGTTCAAAACTCAACTGGTACCAATGCAATAGCCTGCAAAGTGAAATATTATTTCTTCCTTGGAGGTAAGAAGGCTTCCAGGCTCCAGAGAGCTGTGCTCACAGCAATTCTCTGTGAAGAAATACTAAACACCATTGTAAAGAATTCGAAGCTTGCTTCTTTGGCAATTCTTGCAGCATAGGTATTTTGATACACTCTACTCTTTAGATACTTTCATATATATCATAAACACAGTTTTAATAGTGTTTCTTCAGAAGTCAGTTTAACCAACACACCAGCCCTGCCTGCATTTCTTTAGTGCTTAAAATACACAAACCGAAAACCCCCACCAGTCCCCTTAAACTTAATCTTCAGCCTTACAGCTGTGTTCATCAGGTCTGTTATGGTAACCAAACATGTCACTGAAAATCCAAAAGGAAATCCTTTAGCAAATTATCAGTTTTCCTGTACACTCTTGAGGGCTGACCTGAGCGAAATAGAGATCACTTTAATTTCCTACACAAACACGCATAGTCACAGTACCCTGGGCTTTCTGTTTGTTTTCCCCACTTGCAAAGGAAGTTCATCCTATACATAACCCAGAGCCACTTTGGGGGATTTGCTGTTAAAGAAACTGATAATGAAAGATACTGACTCTTCAAACACTTGGAATTGTTCAGGAGAAAACTTGCACAACAACAACCAACTACTTTTCCACAAAGTACTGAGCAGATTGTTGCACTGCAATTCTTGGAAGTCTCAAAAAAAGATTTCCAAATTTCCTCTCACCTGTAGGAAAATTACTGAAGTAAAAGAAAAAACAAGGGGAAAAGGGGCAGAAGGGTGAAAAAAATACCAGTGAGAATGTGGCAGAGGAACACTACAACAGTTCTGACCCCTAGCCATAAATTATTTCTTAAAATTATTTCTTAAACAGAACAGCCCCACACTGATACACTGATGTTGCCTGCATCATCATTAGCTTCGAATGAGAGTGAACACCACTAGAATAAGCTATCTAGGCATAATTCTGTACCTGGTGAATAGAACAACCAAAATCAAGCAGATTGCACTGGAAGCAGTATTAAGACTGTTTATATATGTTCTTGAATGTATCAAAATGGAAACACAGATTACAATACATGAGCTCATTGGGAGTTTACTAATGACTTACAGTTACTTTTTTCCATTTCATTCAATCTGAAGAACAGAAGTAGATGAAACTTCAACTTTCCTCTATCATCAATACAAGCTGGTAACGCTGCAGCAGAAGAATCATCAGCAGTAAGAGGACAAACCCACCATTTTCAACCACCGTTCTCCTTGAAAGTTTTTATCAGCTTAAAATGAGGCATCCCATTAAATGAAAATCTCAGGGCTTCCTCCTAAAAAAACCTCCTAAGATTTGTCAGGGTATACAATTTGATTTATTTGCAGTGGCAATATTTTGGCACTTTATTTTTGTCTTATTTAATAGTTTTAGCAACAGTATTTGGACCTGTTTGAGTTCCAAAACTTTACTGCTCCTCCCATACAGAAGTATAGTATTCATAGAATCAGAGAATAGTTTTTGGGTTGGAAAGGACACCTTCCACTAGACCAGGTTGCTCAAAGCCTCCTCCAGCCTGGCCTTGAACACTGCCAGGGACAGGGCAGCCACAGCTTCTCTGGGCAACCTGTCTCACTGCCCTCATTGTGAAGAATTTTACTACAGAGTGAGGGGTCAGCACATCAATATGCTACATGCACAGCCCTCTATGCCATGGAAAACTCACTGCTGAGGATTTGCTCCCTGCCTTTATCTAAGCCCACTCCTGGAGCTTTTGGTCACAAGCTCAAGCCAAGCAACAGCAGAAACAGAAATCCCTTATCTCAGACTAAACTATTCAGCCTAAAACCAAAACTGGTTTAACTGGCTGATTACACGTTAACTGCATTGACACCAACGGGAAGGGAAAGTTCAAATCCCACCACATTATCTTTAACATGTTTTCAAGAAATGTCAAATCCTGCTCTTATCGTTGTCTACAAGATTTCTATTTGCTTCATCTCAGAAACACAAATGCATCACTGAGGTCAAAATGCAGCCACTAGTATGTCATAAAAAGACACATCTTATCCACAGTGTTTTAATAAAGTGAATGTGCAGTTTTATAGTAAATCTAGACCATATATAGCATGAAAACTCTGAACAGTACCTTTTCTAAATTTATTTTCATTTAAAAATACAGTAAAGCCAACACATGAGATAACAGGATTATATGTCATAAATGCTAGCACTCCAAAATCAGCCTTTTTGCAAATTATGTCTCTTTTTTCCAAATACTAACATGTAAGACAGAGGATTTAGATAGTATTTGTGTCTTATGATTTCTTACTATTTGTCACTGCTTTTGTTGCTCAGTAAAACTCTGAATTATGGCTGAAAAAAGATTTTTCCTATATCTAACCTCCATCGACAACACTTCATAGTACCAAGCTTTATCATCATTGTTTTGAAGGGCCCTTCCCAAAAGTAAACAAACAGATTGAAGAAACATAACATTTTTCAAATGTGGAAGTTTATAGTTTTCACTAATACCCACAACAACAATCTTAAAAATCTTTGTTTTAATAATATTTATACCAGAACTTATTTCATTGAATAACTTTAAAAAACACACTTCAACCAATAATTGTGTCAAACAAAAACTGTGCTATAAAAGAAAATTAATATTTATAATATATATTGGCTCTACAGAAGGAAAATCAGTTACTGATTCACCTTTTCAGTGCAGCCATGGAATTTTGAATAGCTTGTCAACAAAGCAGTAAGCTCAGCGCAAACTCAATGTTGTTAAAACAGAGTGATTTATCATCATCTTCTCCCACTGCAAATCCCCTCTCGAAGTATTTTCCAGGTAACTGTACACATCATCATGACAGATCTGGTGCTTAGCATGAACTTCAACTGTTTTTCCAGAATGAAAATACAAGTTTTGTCTACATCTTGCTGTCCAGTTCCTCAAGCTGTCTCCTGTATAGTCTTTTCTGTCAATGTACAACAAAACTCCCACTCAGGAGCGTGCCTCAACTTTGTCTCTTCCCTTGATTACTTCAGTATCTTCCTTGGTGGCCTTGACATAATCTTGCCTCCTTTGTACCTAACCAGAACGAGGATGTAAATAGTCTGTCCCATCCGTCCTAGTTCACTTCAAACATCAGCTAATCAGCTTATTTTTAAGCTTTTCTCAGGTACTTTCGGTTTTTCACATCCACTCTTTCCTTTAGTAGACGAATTATGCCAGCTTTTACTGAGCACTTCCCATTATGGTTAGAAACAGTTCTCCATTAAAAAAAGTCTAAACTCTACCTGTTACCCTTTCTTCAAAACTCTTCTGTGACATTATGGCAGAAAAATTCTGTAATGGATCCTGGTCTGCTGAAAGCACAGTGATTGTTAGTATAAAGATTAATGATCATTGATGCCATCACAACACAATTTTGAAGAGATGAAAAAGTCTAACTTATGAGACTTCTCAGGATCCCACAGCACTATTAGAACTGCCATAAACCTTCGTTCTAGACTCTTACTTAAAATCAACAACTTCTTTTACTCTGAATGTCTTACTGATTTATTCAGCTACAATTCATGGGCACTGTGCCCTTTAGGAAAATCAAGCTTTACCCCGCCTCTGCCTGCTGAATGGAATTACAGTCACTGCACAAGCTGTTACACGGATATGCAGGGTGGTTTAAGAGGATCCGTGCATGGACTGAAACAGCTATACTCTTCTTTATGAACAACTGCACCAGGGCATCCAACACAGCACGACTGGATACATTTCTGACAATAGTAGCAGTTAAATACTATTGCCATTAGTCTCAAAGTAAAACTACATGCAATTTTCTTGTTCCAAGAAAATGTTCGATGAAGCCCATTATGAAATGATGGTTGAGCACCCAAGGCTCAAACTAATATTCTGCCTTTTGATTTATCAACTCATGCTTTTCCTTTTTTTTTTTTTTTTGAGAACACCTTACGTACATGATTATAGTAAACTACTAAAAGTACCTGAAAGAGGAACAAAATAATTTCTACTTAATCAGTTTGTGCTTTGTGCCATGCTCTCTAATGACCATAGTAATGGCAAAAGACTCTTTCTCATCATTTTGGGTATGAGGAGATAGAAACAGCTTAGAAGCCTAAAGGAAAAATATTCAATGCTGAAAATTTAAAATACTGAATTCTGTAAGGAGTATTTTGAACAAGTGATACGCATCATGCTCACAATTATTAGAAGAAAGTCCTAATACTGAAATTATGTTCCAAAAGAACTTGTTTTGCAAAACAACAACTAGGTTCAACAGCCCAGACACCACTGTGGAAAGCACAGTGAAAACCTGTGGTTAGCGACAGTAAACTCAAAACAAAGCAAAAAACCCAGCAGCAAGATATTAAGATAAGCATAATTCAGAAGGGGACATACCATCAATGAACCGTTTTGAATTCAATTATTCTGTTGCAGAAAAGTGAACAGCAGGAATAGCCATTTGCATCATCAAGGACATAGCACAAATCTTCCCAAATTGAAATATGAAGTTGAAAAGATCAGTGTAATTACACAAAGAAGAAATAATTAAGAGGACGTATGACAAAAGCACATAAACCACAAATGCCGTATGAAGACAAAGTAGTAGTTTTTGATTCATTCAGCTTCAAAAATCTAGTCTTGCATGTCCAAGTGAAGCAAACATGACAAGTTCAAATATAAAAAAAGAAAGTGATTTTTGCCTCCACTAAGAAAAATTAGCTTCTGAAATCCAATTTC